TATCTTTTATTCCACAGATATCATCCTATGACTTTTATCATGTAGTAGGAAACAGAAAGCTTCCTTCTCATTCAGTGTAAGCTTTCCATGATATTCGGTGCCTGTGTGTGTGTGCTATTGAAAGTCTTTTCCCTTTCAGATGCTGCTGTCAGTGCTTCTGGCTCTGCTGGGGTTTGCAGGAGGAGTGTACTGCGCAGTCTTCTCCTCAATGGGGTTGACTGGGGGCCCTCTGTGTGACACGGGTGACGGAGAATACCTCTATCCTTTCAGAAACAACACTCTGGAGTGAGTATGACTTACAGGCTCCTCTCAGTTTGTGTTCCCTGATTTCACTGTTCTTCTTTTCATAGAAAACTTATTTTTTTTATGTGAACAGATGGTCAACACTGTCTACACCCAAACTCATGCTCCTCGGAGCTGGCGTGTTCCCGCTGGTCATCCCTTTGGCCAAGAGCTTACCTACAGGCAAAGTGCCTACGTTTCTCCCATCGTGCTTGTCAGCAACCCCTTGTGCATGTCGCACCATGCCTTCAAAAGGCAGCTGAGTGATGAGCTGTGACTATCATCAGAGTCAAGAGGAAGTATTTGATAATTATGCCCTATTAACCTGCTAAATCAACATGACTTGAGTCTACTGTGCCTACTTCTGGAAAGTAAAACAAAAATCTCTTTTGATCCTAAAGGCAAACTTGACAACCACACTCTTCAAGCCAGCCCTAGAGATGATGGATAGGCTGAGATACCTCAGCAGAAAAGGATAATATGGAGAAATATTTTAAAACCATTAGATACCTTTCCCCTTAGGTTTTAGCACTGCTATGAGCATGCAGAAAAGCATGGGTAAAGTCATTAATTGCACCTCTGCAAAGGGAATCCTAAAGAGAATCATCAGATTTACCAACTGCAGTATAATTTGAGACTCCCTTTTCACACTGTGCAAACAAATTCGAAGAATGTAAAGCAAGAAAATGCGAAGCTGTTCTATAATGGCATACAGGTGAAAGCATTCTCAAATTCATATTTTCTAATACATTGCCAATTATTCTTCTTTGTAACAGATACAATTATTTGTTCAATCAGACATCATGGAGCATTTGCAAAGAACCTGAAAACATCATCCTTTGGAATATTGTCCTTTTCTCTATTCTCCTGGCCCTTGGTGTGATTGAAGCAATTCTTTGCTCAATTCAAGTCATCAATGGACTCACTGGCTTTGTGTGTGGCACATGTATGAGGAGAAGAAAGGTTGGTATGCAATAAAAGATACCAGAGAGCTTTAAATTCTTACCACTTCTTTAATGGTAATGGTACGTAATCAGAGAGAGATGCACAAACCCTGACTGAATACTTCTGGAAAGCAGAGGCAGTTCAGATGCATTTGCACATTATCAGTCTCCATCTCAGTGTAAATGGGAATAACTCAGCTCTCAAATATTTCAGAATAGCTTAGAAGTGTGATACTTCCCATATTCAGTTTTACATTTGTGTTCCCGCTCAAGAAGACTTTTGGTTAAAGTGTAATGGCCCTCCAAAAACGGGTAATATAAGAAATAGAGGAATTTCAATTGGTAGTAAAAGTGTCATTTTATAAAACAGTAGAAAACTTATTTCCTATTTCATTTATCACCACTGCTTCCTTTCCAATCCTGGCTTTCATTGTACAAGATGCTTGCATGAAGTCTGATACCCCTCTGGATTATTAATTAACCATTTTTTATTCACTGCCTTTCAGACAAACATTTCGGGAATGTGAACCACCTGCAGGGGACAAGACATGCCTTGAGCTGCAAAGTCTATATTACAAAAATAATGCATTGTGCTGTATTTATGAGGGGGAACAAAGAAACCTGCAAATGTTCAGCAGCTTCGAGGGGGGTAAAATGGATTTTTTAAATGAAGAAATCGAGGTTGAAAATGGCTATGTCATTTACATCTGAGACTCCAGATTTTCATCTCTCTAGATACTGCTGCTGAAATTCAGGTAGTGTCAAAAACACAGATCTGTCTAGTCCAGTCTGCCATGTTTATCTATAAAGTCCCCACATAGAAGCTCACCATTTGCCCTTTTGTGTTCACAGGAAACCAAATCACTGACAGTGTTTTTTGTTTGCATTTATCAGCTGCACAAAGCAGGATGTAAATAGCTCTGCCTGGATGAAAACAGTTTCCTGTCTTCTCCAGACTCACCTTGAGCTCACATGTGTTCCTCTTACCTTGCTACCCAGGAACCCAGTTTTACTTTAGGATCCACAGAAAATATATTGAGCTGCACCCACAGCACTGCAAGTCAAATGAAGCACACAGACTTCAGCCTCCCTCAGCCACCCTGGATCCAAATCCCTTTCTTTGCTATCTTGCTGTCACCAAAGTCTGATTCTTCAGGTGCATCTGCTACATGCAATAGCCCTGGAAGAGCATTTTGGTCAATGTAGACCACATATTTTGGAGCAAGAGTTTAACTAAGTGCAAAGGAGAACCTCAGCATCAATTTTGCCCTCACAAGACTGTGTAGAAGTCTCACTAAATTCCACACAGCTTTGTAGGGCTGTTCTAGAATAGATCACATGCATGAGCAATTACCTGGAAAAGAAAAACATTAAATCAATAAGGCGAGTAATTACACACAGCTCAGTAACAAATCAGAGATACAATCTGAAAGGCAGCAAATTGCGTAAGTCTTTCTGTTACAGCAACAGTAATCCCAAGGAGGAGCTGCGTAATTCTCCACCATCATTCACAGTCAAGCCTTTCATGCCAAAGCCCATGACTGGCAAGTTTCAGAATCCCCATCGCGTCACTGTCTTCCTCAAAGGCTACTCTTGGGCATGCCCCTGACTTCCCTGAGTCAGGCAAACTGTAAGAAAATTGTTAACCATCCTGAATGCCTGTAGAGAGTTATGAAAACCTGAATATGTCTAAAACTGTTGGAATCCGTTTTCCAAAAAGAGGCACTTACGTTTTCAAGTGTTCATATTTCTGTATTGTAGCATGAGAAAAAGCACCCAGACCTTCCACACACATACATGGCCATATGTGTCATCCTCTAATGCAGCACACGAACTCTCTGCAAAAACTGGTGAAGGAAATGTCAGTAGTGCTAAGAGGAGCACACAGACACTTCCTTGAAGCATAACTTTAGCCTGGAAGCAAGCAGCCTGACCTATGAAGTTTAAAATACCTATTGTAAAGAGAGTGTAATATTCATCGAGGTTTGCCAGTGTGATTTAGGTGCATCCAAACTTGCCAGGTGGCCTCAAATGTGATGTGCATTGTAAGCAGCAAAGCCTGGGCAATACCGCCATAAAAAAAACAGACACCAATTGATTCAACTGCGAAGGAAGTCGAGGAGGCAGCCAGGAGGGTGCTCAGTATGTAGTCAGATTGAGAGACAGGAGTGATGAGATCTTCACGGCCCTTAAACAACAGCTCTGCTCTCATCCTTGAAGTTTTTTCTTGTTTCTTATCTCAACAAGAGATTCAGTTTGTGCTGCGCCAGAACCAGTACAAGGAAAGATACCCACCTGTATCTAGCATCCCACACAAAGGTAAATGTACTGCTGTCACCTGTTTGTTCCCAGCTGTCCTGCCCCAGGGATGCTTAGTGTTGTGTCTGTATACTAATGGGGACACCTCTGTAATCACTGGTTTCACTGATACATGTAAATATTAAATATTGCTATTCTGAAATTGTGTTCTGTTTTGATTTGTGTGACCTAAATGGCTCATGGCTTCAAATTAGAATTTCAGAATTGGTGTTGCTACTGATTTCAATTGTACTGATTTCAATTTGGGTTTTTTTTTTTCCAAAATGGAAAGAATTATTTCTTTTTTTTGTACTGGACACATGCAGAATTTAGTAAAACTAAGGAACTTATAATATTCTTCTGTATCTTCTTTTATTTCTACTTGTCCCTTATCTGTCTTCAATCTAACTACCTATCTATACATCTATTGTTTCCATATCTATATTTTCACCCTAAAGAATCACAGTCAAAACTCAGACAGATATAATGACCAACTATTTGCAAGGATTTAAAAACAAAAAAAAAAAAGTTGAGTCCTTCTCTTCCTCCTACAACTGAAACTGATACAGAAGATCAGCCAGATACAAAGCCGTGCTGGTCAGAAGAGATAATACTCCTCGTTAGGATAATGCTCCTAATAAATGAGAGAAAGTGTTCCTGAGGTTACCTTGGCGCAGTTATAAAATTGTAGACCAAGCACTGCTTCAGAGTCCAATGGCCTGGTGCCTTAGCTGCCAGGGCTAAGGATGTGATTCTGTATCTGGGCTGGAAATCAGAGGCTGGGTCAGTTGAGTACCCCAAGTGTTTATGCTTTGTGTCACTGGAGATATCCTAGAATATCCTGACTGCAGGTCCAGAAGGGCATGTGCCTTCACAGGTGTCTATAATATATGCTTGCCCATAGGGACATGTCCTCTCCTCCCCTACCCCCGCCCCGCCCCTCCCCTCCCCTCCCCTCCCCTCCCCTTCCCCCCTCCCCCCCTCCCCTCCCCTCCCCTCCCCTCCCCTCCCCTCCCCTCCCTTCCCTTTCCCCCCTCCCCTCCTTCATCCCATCCTCCCCTCCCCTCCCCTCCATCCCCCCCTTCCCCGCCCCCCCCTCCCCCCTTCCCCCCCTCCCCCCATCCCTCTCCCCCTTCCCCCCACTTTCCCATCCCCCCTCCTTCCCTTCCCTTCCCTTCCCTTCCCTTCCCTTCCCTTCCCTTCCCTTCCCTTCCCTTCCCTTCCCTTCCCTTCCCTTCCCTTCCCTTCCCTTCCCTTCCCTTCCCTTCCCTTCCCTTCCCTTCCCTTCCCTTCCCTTCCCTCCCCTTCCCTTCCCTCCCCTTCCCTTCCTTTCCCTTCCCTCCCCTTCCCCCACCTTCCCCGCCTTCCCCCCTTCCCCCCTTTTCCCCTTGCCCTCTCCTTTCTCCTTTCTCCTTCTTTTTATAAAATAGATGCAATAACTGAGTCACCTAGTGGCAAAAGAGCACAACAACAGACTCAGTGGGGAATTGGTCTTGATGCAATTTCATGCTTGCACAATGCTTCTTGTAGACACTACACATCAGCAAAACCACCCCAGCTTCAATTACATTACATATATTTTTTCTCTAGTCTTTTCCATCTCAGTGTGTAAAGTTCTCACTTACATTTTGTCCTACAACAACTGCTCCACATCCTTCTCAAAAGAGTGGTGATGCACTGGCACAGGCTGCCCAGGGAGGTGGTGGAGTCACAGTCCTGGAGATGTTCAAGAAATGTGGAGATGTGGCACTGAGGGATGTGGTAGATGGGCATGATGGAGTTGGGTTGATGGTTGGACTGGATGATCTTGGAGGTTTTTTCCAACCTTAATCATTCTATGATTCTATGAAATGAAGATGTGCTGCTTTGTATCTCAGAAAGCAGTGCCTTCAGTGGGTCAGCAGTAAATCTCCTTTCCCCGCTCCCTGGGCTTATTTTGATTATTATTGTAGGTTTAGTTCAGACAGCTTTGAACAGACGCAGTCTCAGCCCTATCTGCTGCATTAGCCTTGGACCTTGGACCTAGAACCTAGAGAAATATGGACTATTTTCATAACATAGCATATCAGACAAAATATAACATTTCCCCTCTTTTAAGCCAAGCTCATTACCCCTCGCATCAGTGCTCACTGGCTATTACCAGCAGTAATTCCTGCTCTCTTATTCTCTACTCCTCACAAAAGAAAGATTTAAATATTTTCTGCAGAAAGAGGAAGACAGAAAAACTGCCACTTCTCAGCGTTTTGGGTTTTATATCTCTGTTTCTTCTCTTGCAAAGGACAAGAAACAAATACTGAGCAGTTTACAAGGCAACACTAATCTTTTTTTTCTGTTGTTTTTTTTTTTTTTTTTTTTTTTTTCCTGTGACTATCAAAGAATATAGCCACCAATCCACTATCCATACCTAGGACCTAAATTAAACAACAGAAAATGGCTCTAAATATACCAGGATTGGTATCTTTGAGTGTATTTTTTACATTCACTTTGGCTGCTGGAATTTGGGCTTCGTGGAAAAGCAGAAAGGAGCAGCAGAACCAAAACCCAACTGAAATGGCCATCGTCGGAGGCAGGAATATAAAAGTTTGTGTTGGATTGTTTACTGCAACTGGTAAGCTTTCTTAAAGGACCTTTAACATTCTTCTTAAAACACATGCACTACCCAAATCTGGGGGCCGTTTTCTTTTCAAAGCAAGTTGCCTTTAATGTCAGGGCAGATTTTACCTGAGTGTGGCTTTAAAGGAGTATGGTTTCATGAATCATTTTGGGATGGATTCTTCCAAACCTCTTCACACTGAGCAGAACCTCATGTTTATGTAGATTAAATTAAAGAGCTTAATTTAGGAGTTTAGTTAAGAGCTGGAGAGTTTAATTTAAGAGTGCCTGAAGAATGTGACACTTTTCATTAAGGAAGAGTGTGGTCTTAATTTTGAACTAGTTTCTGTTATCCAGCATTTTTCTCCTGGAACAAACCAGTTGAAACAAACTGTTCCTGGCATTGAGCACTGGCTGGGAGCTACAAGGTGAAGTTCCCCCCCCTTCCCTCCCCACTGCCCTCCTCTTCCATTTTCTCTTCTTGCTGCTTGACATCACCTGAAATTTGCTTTTCTGCCTTTTTTTTTTTTTTTCTCTTTCAAAGGCAGCTCAGGTGACATTTGTCTGAGTAAGATACCTAAGTCCAGGCTGCAAGTTTGCTCTGCTAACTGCACTGCCTGCTTGCATTTCCTTTCCTAGTGTCTGCTTCATTACCAGTGTAAGCAGCACTCACGAAGGACAGCCTATCAGCCACAGCAGAATACCAAACGCGGTTCTCTTTGTTCTAGCAAAAGTCTTCCAGTGAGAAAAAAATGAAATGCAGGATGAGCATATTCGGATTGCCTTTAAATACCTGAACACTGAGCTTTTCTGTGAATGAATTCTTTCTGAACTCAGGAATTATTTAGAGTGAGACTCCAACAGTTACCTTCCCTCAGCAGGTGTGGTGAGCACTCACTCTGGGATGAGATTTGTGTCAGAAACTAGGAGTGTGATTATCTGCTTGTATAAGAAAACGGTTTATAAACTCTCTGTCGTACAGGACAAGATGAAGATATGCACCACAAGATTTACCTTTGTGTCTTTCATGTTTGCAGCCACCTGGGTTGGAGGAGCGTACATCAATGGCACAGCTGAAATCGTCTATCTGCCTTCCAAAGGACTGCTGTGGGTCCAAGCGCCTGTGGGGTTTGCCTTGTCCCTTCTTATTGGTAAAGAATTCACAGAGTAATCAGGAAATAAAACCAAATGAGCACATTAAGTTGTGTAACAGAGTGTAAAGTACATTTTAAATGTGATTTTGTTCCTCCAGTTTCCAAAAAACCCAGAATAAGCATTGATGATGCTGCTTTCCAAACAGAAACATAAGGAGTCAAGATAGCTCACAGCTGGTGTAGAGCTTTGTCTGCTTGGAGCAATTTACGCTACAGAAATCTCATCTGATAATTTTGGGAACCTGTGGATATGTGAATGCCACTTTTTACCATAGTCTGTTAGTCACAAACTACTGAGAGTATCAGTATCATCTGATTTTTTTCCTTTGAAATTTCTGTGTGATGAACCTTTGTGATTTTGCCACTGAAGCCTTATCTCAGGGTGAACTGGTGATGTGTCCAGCTGTGTCCCACTCAACAGCTGTTCACAGCTTTGTTGTAACTGAGACCCTCTGGTTTCTGGTCCAGTCAAGTCTGCTGTTTTCTACATCTGTTCCAATACCCAGAAATTACTGAGGTTCTTGCTGAGATTGAGGTTTCTTCCAGTCCACAGTGAGTTATACCATAACTCTATGGACACTGGAAGATTAAAGGAGACCGGTGCAGACCTTTGCACAGGAATTTCTAAAGGAACAATAACCTTTATTCTCAAGTCAGAGAAAAGAGTCCAACTGACGTGAATATGAATCAGGCTTGGAAATATACTGCCAGCATTTCTTACGTGAGCAATTCTTACTAATGAAACTGGGGAGTGCAGGTCTAATCCTGCAATCTTTACTCAGGTCAGTAGTGCCCAGACAAGCAGTTCTGTTGGCTTCGGGGTTAGGCACAATACGTACTTTTTGGTTTTAATGAGATGGCTGTATGACTGAAGACTAATATTTAGATGAGGGTGGGTGAAACTCAGCTCAGTGCACAGATTAAAACAATATAATTCTGGGAAGAGACAATGAAGACACCTAAATGAAAATGTAACCAGGAAAGTAAGTTATATCAACTTGTTGCATCACATGGACAAGGACAGAAGTTCATCTATTTTTAGCCAAATATTCAACACCTCTGACATTTTCCATGGGAAGCATTTCAGGAGACTGTGTCTCGGGTTGGTTGGTCATTGGAGATGAAGACAGACCAAGTCTGGATAGGTGTGCTCTGAGCTAATTTCTGAATTTCTGTTACAGTCTATGGAAACGTCCTTCATATGCTCAATGAATAAAGATTTCAACTCAGTCTTAAATCTATAGAATCATAGGATTGTTTGAGTTGAAAGGGTCATCTAGTCCAACTCCCCTTGTGGTGAACAGGGACACCTACAGCTAGATCAGGTTGCTCAGAGCCCCGGCCAGGGATGCCCTAGGGGTTCGTGCCTGGATTCCAGCAGCCACTCCTGAGACATGTACGAGTACCAAAAGTGGAGGATCATATCTATCAGCTGTGGATGTCCCTGATGACGTAGAATCTCTCAGATAGATGAAATCCCCCATTTAAGCAAGTGGATCATTTCCTTTGCTGTATCATTCCATAGGCTCCGTTAAGGATGAATTTCACACTCACTATACAAATTTGAAATATATTCAACTACTATAGCATTCTTATGCTATATATGTGCAAAATTCTATTAAAATGTAAACTCTTCTGATAGGTGGTTTCTTCTTTGTAAATCCAATGAGATCCAAGAATTACATGACAGTGATGGATCCCCTTCAGGAAGTATACGGGAACATGATGGGAAGCTTACTTTTTATTCCTCCACTGCTCGGAGAGGTGTTCTGGTTTGCAGCTATCCTGGCATCTCTGGGTAAGTAACAATTTTGCTGTTATATTTATTGAAAATCATATGACACAAATCACAGAGTGAAGTACACATGTGGTAATTGAGTTGGACTAAACTGTGGAAAGCTGTGCTTCATGTCTCTTTTTCTGAGAGGAACAAAAATATTTTCAATTTCTGGAAAATATTCTTTTAGATGGCAGTATCCACAATACTGTAACAGAAGGTTCTGGCAATATGATTTAGTACCTTCATCTTGTCTGTGGGAGAAAAGGTGCAAGGAGTCAAACTGACTGGGCTAAGGCCATGCAGCAAGGCAGCAACAGGAAGGGTACATGGGCTCCCCTGGGTCCTCACTGCATGCTTTCTGCTAGATCATGCACTGCTCCACCAACATGGCGTCCTGACTTCAATGGCATGATGTATCCTTATTTATTCTGTATTCTACATGTAAGAAATATCCATTAAAATACTTGACTGCTGTTCTTGTCTGCAGGAGCAACAATGAGGGTCATCTTGGATATCGAAGGCTCTTTAGCTATCTCTCTCTCAGCATGCACAGTCATACTCTACACTCTACTGGGAGGCCTCTACTCTGTTGCATACACAGATGTCATCCAGTTGGTTTTCATCACCCTCAGCCTGGCAAGTCCTGTGCATTTCTTTGTTACCAGGTTCCTAACCAAGGGACAAAATCTTTCTCTTTTCAGCATGTCTTCGTGAAAATGATTTGATCAATATTATTTCTTTATCCTCTTCAGAACAAGTCTCCTGAAAGGTCTTAAAATCCTTATGCATTTTAGACATTGCTGACACAAGTTGTTGGCCTTGCTGGATGACAAGCTGCTCACAAGTAAGGTCAGCAGAGCTCATCCAGGACAATCTTGGCTGGAAATGAGAGAGATTTGTCTACTGAAGTGATTCATATACTTGATGATGCAGTGAACCAGAAACATGTAGATTTAGAGTAAGGAAGGTGGGGAAAAGAAGACTCCAAATCTGGGCTTAAGGTTATGTAGCTTTATATTCCACATGGATTTCAATGTCTGCATAAATTTTCCTAGAAATTTTCAGGATCCTGAAGAAATGTTAAACTATTTCAATTTCTATCCTAGTTGGTCTGTATTCCCTTTGCCTTGATAAACACTGCAACAGAAAGTATTTACTACACTGCAACTCATAAACATTACCAAGACCCCTGGATTGGAAAAATAGAAAAACAGTATCTTGGAAGGTGGCTGGATGACTTCTTCTACCTGGTATGGAATATTTGCTTGGACAAGTGATTCGGAGAAGTAATTATGTGGGATTTTTTGTATGGGAAACTTATGGACTCTTCCAGTAGTACTAAAATGCACTGGGCAGGAGCAGAATGAGGTATAAAACTTTCTCTCAGCCATTCTACTGAATGGACTTCAGCACACTGAATGGACCTGGAAAAGCCAGGGCTTAGCTCTGAACAGGAAAGGAGGGATAGGGAAGCATCCTGCACCCATGTAAAGGAATATACCTCTTGAGTAAGACCATGCAGACAACTAATTCTATTCCTGACACAAAATGAGGCACTTCCTACCACCTGATATCTTGGTTTTTCAGCCTCAATAATGTGCTTTTAACATATTTATGTAAAATTTCTTCTATCTGAAAAAGTCTATGAAAACAGCTCTATTACAGGTCATCACCATGGTGCCAAGAATGATGCCATTGGCTCCACTGCACAACTCAGCTTTTGAGCTACGAATATAGCCAGGACTGCAGTGGGTTGTTACAATCTCACTAGATTGGCAATGTGAACACACAGAAGCTTGGCTTTGCTTGGTGAGGACAGAATTCTCAGATTTCCTCTGATGCAATTTATGTGTTAAGCAAGTGAAAATAATTATTCACATTTTATTATGATTTTTTTATGTTACACTCTAGTTAACTTTAGGCAGATTTTGACAAAAGTTGCATTCTTAAAAACTTATCTTCAGCAAACTTTATCTTCCTCTGATTCTCCTTTACCATGGCAGAGAACCTATTTCCCAACTTTCTCCACCTGCAAAAGCTTTAACCTGTTTTGATCAAAATTTCACAACCATTGCAATTAAAACAAAGGATGCCCTCGATGAGAATTATTCAGCCTCAGTGACTAAAGCTGGGAAAGTTTATGCATTTGAAGAGAGGGTTTAATAACAGGAAAGATTATCAACCATCTGAATGAATAGATGATGCCGTATAGCAAGCAGGAATCCAGTAATTACTACTCTTAACATCTGAATATTTCAGGTGCTTGGGAGCATCCCATGGCAAACTTTCTTCCAAAGAGTGCTCTCTGCTGCCTCACCCAGCCAAGCAAGGTTCATCTCCTACCTCTCTGGACTAGGATGCTTTTTAATGGCCATCCCCCCCGTGCTCATTGGTGCAGTTGCAGCATCAACAGGTAAAGCTGAACTATTTGTATCTGAATAATGAACATGTTTTTTGCCAAAGCTGTTTAAAACAAGGGATAAAAAAGCCCTGATCAAATTTCCTACTAATGCATGCCAACTGCCTAAAAACCCATTATGGGAGATGTGGCCACCAAGCTAGAAGTCTGTACTAGAAATGTAGAGCCCTAGAGACATTTAAAGCACCCCCAAATCTGCCTAGAGCTATTTCACTGTGGTGAAATGATTTTTCATGCACATTGCAGTGAGGAAAGAGGAAGGCAGAACCATAAAACATTGTATAATCTGGTTTTCCTAGAAATGTTATGCTTGCTTCTCTTAATGCCTTCTGCAAGTGAGACCCAGTAGTACCACTATAGATTGCTTTTGATGTTCAGGAGAAAATCAGCTTGAATGAATCAAGTTCACTTCCATAAACCCTCAGCCCCCACCCAGAAGAGTTCAGTCCTATGTTGACTGTGAGCAGAGTTAAATAGCAGCCAGATCACTGAATATTTATAGAAATCAATTGAAATTCATCAGTCATTAAGGACATCAGAGCAAAACTTCCTTCTCCTCTGAGAGACCTCTGATAAGTGAAGTCCAGAAGACTGATCTTCAAACATCCCATTCTTAGAAACATATGAAGCACAGCTATTTCTACTGATGTTGCTGGTAAAAAGGAAAAACTTTGATCTAGTAAGAACTGCAGCATGCTTAGAAAATCACAAGAGATCATAAGAGAATACAGCAAATGAATACAAGTCCAAAAATGCTTAGCAGGCTTCAGTCCTTAGCCCTGCTGTGACTGGTTTCTATCGAAAGAAATGTCAATGAAGGATCTGTTGTGAGCTTTTCTTCTTCTGTCTTAAAGATTGGAACCAGACAAGCTATGGTCTTCCAAGTCCACTCGAGAGAGGAGAATCCGCTATGATATTGCCATTTGTTTTACACTACCTGTGCCCAGCATACATCTCCATTGCTGGCTTGGGAGCCATTGCTGCTGCTGCAATGTCTTCTGCAGACTCAGCTCTTCTCTCTGCTGGCTCCATGTTTGCTCACAACATCTACAGAAAAATCTTGAGGAAAAAGGTACTTTGTTACAGCATTCAGCAGCTTTGGTGTCAGGATAGATGTTTTTGTTTCAGGATAGATGCAAACTTAGTCTGCACTGCCCACAGTTAGAAGTGACTGTCCTTCAGCTGCTGAGTTGAGCTCTGGAGGCAGATTTTGAAACAGAGGTCAGGGCTATTCATAGAATCACGTCCACAGAATGGTTTGAGTTGAAAGGGACCTTAAAACCCATCCAGTTCTAATTCCCTGGCACAGGTGGGGTCACTAGACCAGGCTGCTCAAACCCACATCCGATCTGGCCTTGAACACTTCCAGAGATGGGACATCTACAGCTTCACAGTAACCTGTGCCTTTTTTTTCAATTCAAAACCGCTACCCCACTACCACTCTGCCACCTCTCCAACCTGTCCAGGTCCCTCTGGATGGAATCTCTTCCCTACGCTACGTCAACCACACTATGCAGCTTGGAGTCATATCCTCAGCAGGGATACAAATACCCACAGCAGTGAGCTTTGCTCTTCGTAAGACAACTGAGAAAAAAAAAAATGACCAAGATATGAACGGAAACAGCATAAAATCAACCCTCAAGATTAGAGGGTGCAGCTCCACTGTGCGCTGTGGGAGCCATGATCTGAGGGGAAAGCCGAGGCGACGGCTGGAAGCAGTGAGGCCTGGGGTGGGACCCAGTCGAGGGCAAGGCAGTGCTGTGGTAATGTTACAGTCTTCTCTTTTACAGGCTGCAGACAGGGAGGTCTTATGGGCCATGAGGACCTCCATGCTGGTGTTTGGGGCTGGGGCTGCCAGTCTGGCTTTTTATTCCAACTCTGTCTACGACCTGTGGTTCCTCAGCGGGGAGCTGGTGTATGCCCTGCTTTTCCCACAGCTGTGTTGTGCCCTCTTTGCTCCCCGTAGCAACACGTATGGTTCGGCTGCTGGTTTCTTGGTTGGACTCCTCCTGAGGCTGCTGGCAGGGGAACCTGCCCTGAAAATCCCCCCCATCATCTGCTATCCAGTCTGCTCCCTCCTGGATGGGTCCTACATGCAGCTCTTCCCCTATAAGACATTCACCATGCTTTTCACTTTGGGGACGATCATTGCTGTTTCATATTTGGCTACACTTTTGTTTCAGAGAAACCTTCTTCCCCGCAGATGGGATGTTTGCAATGTCCTGGGGGAAACCAGCACTCACACCCCTCTGCGTCAGATGGACAAACAGACGGGTTTGCAAACTGTGCCATTGGAAGAGAATTGTGATTAAATGCGGGACCTTGAAAGGACATGGTGCATTCAGCAATTAGAGTTTGGCACTGCTCTTCCCTTTGCTTTCTCTAGTAACAAATTATTTAAAGTTCTCACGAAGTAATAAAGACACACTCCATTCATGCAAGGAGAATGAGTGAGCTCAGAGTCTGCCATGATTAAAGGCACACAGTGATGGGGCATGATCTTGTGGTAGTGAGCAAGGGGCACCCTGGGCCCAAGTGTTTGCTTTAGGGCGTCCCTTGTTTCCCACCTGAAGGCAAGGCTACCAATCGTGCTCCAACATTTATGATGTTCTCAAGTCACGTAGATTTCTCACCTCAAAAGAGACAAATTAATGCTTAATAGATTGAGCACACTTGATTTAAAAAAAAAAAAAGTGCATAAATCTGTTCCCATTGAAACAGGTGTTCCCATCGAAACTTTGGTGTAAGTTTTCCAGGGGAGGGGTTCAGATATAAAACAGAGATTACTGAATGCCATGTAATCTCCGCAGAGCCAATCAGTGATATTAGTTCTACACTAGTCTTTGTATTATTTAGGAAGCTCTTGCATACACTTCTCCCCAGCTGTGGTCTAAGGTTATACCATCCGTCTAGTGCAACATGGTTCTGGTGAGGACATCCCTTCTTATATGACCTGGTCTGGAAGAGCAGATGAGCAAGATCACAGAGCCATAGAATCACAGCATCATTCAATAATTGAATGGTTTGTGTTGGAGGGGACCTTAAAAGCTACTTAGCACCAAACTCCTGCCATGGGCTGGTTGCCCTCACCAGCTCAGGCTGCCCAGGGCCTCATCAGTCTGGTCTTGAGCACCTCCAGGGATGGGGCACCACAGCTCTCTGGGCAGCTGTGCCAGGGCCTCACCACCCCCATTTGAGGGCCTAAATCCACCCACCACAGCCAACAGAACTGGGCAGCTCCTCACCACCAAACCTTCCTTTGAAGGAAATTGTAGGAGCTGCTGTGCATGGAAATGCCTGGCATGGGAGAGAAGATGCATACTGACATATCCTCAATATCCCACAGCAGAGCAGCTGATGGCCAGCTGAGTGGAGAGGATGAAAGCAATATGCTATTTAGTGAGCTGCTTCCAGCACACACTGTGCACATATACAATGAAAAGCAATGCTGATGCCACCATGCACTCCTGTGTCACACTCTTTGAGGATCCATGTGCTACTCCCATTTATATCAAGACATGGTGCAGCGGCCTGGGACAAGAACTGGCAGCCCTTTACTCTTAGATACAGTTTCCTGCCCTCCACAGAGAGCACCCTTTAAAATACCTTCCCCAGTGTCATCCTCTGGAAGATAGAAATCTTGATGCTCATCAGAAAGATATCATATAACCTTCTGCTTCACCCTGTTGTTGGTAGACACCTGTATACAGCAGTTCTGTTGATATGCTTTGTTAAACCCAGTCCACAAGTTCATTCCTGTATATCTAGAGACAGCGTTTAATTAAAATAGGTGTTTAGAGAAAGGAAAAACAGCTGTTTCGAAAATTAAAAGCCCCAGGCAGTTACCCACTGAAATCTTTCATGCTCTAGTGATGTGAGTGGGAGTATGTGAGGTTGTACTTAGCTAAGGGAGACACCAAAGCTATCATTACCATAGCGCCAGAAGAACTGGGCTGCTGTTAAATCACAGTTGCTATATGCTATTTCCAGCATACTCTCCTGATTTAGGGATGACCTAGTTTGGGTATCCAGACATCCATCTGTGTAGAGTATGTGGAGCAGACCAAAACTTACAAAATGCACTTGCATAAGGGCACAGACCTCCTGTATGGCCCAGTTGGAAACAAAACTCCAAATTCCTCATGTCAAGGTAAGCGTCCTAACCCTGACCACCCTACCCAATGGCAGTGAAGGGTGAATGACTAGATCTGGACATATCTTTTCACCACTCAGGCTGTCCAGAGAGGTGGCAGAAGCCTCATCCCTGGAGACACTCAAGGTCAGGCTGGATGGGCACCTAATCTAATGTAGGTGTCCCTTTCATTGATGGGGAGCTGGACTAGGTGGCCTTTAAAGGCCCCTTCCAACTCAATTCTGTGGTTCTGTAATTTTATGACATTGCTGAAGAGCGTCACCACCACAGTCACATCACCACCACAGCCACATCACAGCCACAGTCACATCACCTCCTGACATCACCACAGAAAACTCGCAGTGACTTCAGATAGGAATGCCTTGGTGCTGCAGTGGGGTACCTGGCACACTCAGCACATGCTTTGCCCTTACAAAGCTCCTCTGAATTCAGTACTGCTGAAACACACTCTGCTGTGCGTGGAGAGACTGAAATGGCTAAGATACAATTACTGTAACTCTCCTGAATGTTTACCATTTTTCATCCTTATATGACTCCCTCCTCAGAACATTAAAAGGAAAACATTCATCAAGGTCAGGCAAAGTTTTGAAAGCAATTAGCTGCAAGTAAAATAAATATAAAAGCAATTCCAGTCTGTACTTAATGACAAAGTGCCTCGTTGTTCCAGTCCAGCACAGCCAGTGCCTTTTAGGTACTGCCAGCATAGGAGATGTTGACCCAGCACACACGAAATCATTCCTCTCACAGATTGATGCCTCCAGTTCATTTAAGTCCTTTTTCTTTGCCACCTCTTTGTGAAAAAAAAAATTGCCTGGGGCCTGGGGGGTCCCAGTGTGCCCTTCTATTTGTGGATTTACTACCTTTGTATCCTAGATGTGTGCATGACAAGATGTCTGTACAGCTCAGGTTTTCATTAACACAAATGATATACAGCTCAGTTTTCCTCTGGTTTTGCTGGGAAATGTCTTTCTTCAGCACCAAACAACTTCAAGAAGAGTCAATATTTTGTTTCAGTTCTTTGGCCAAATGGACAAAGAGGATTGGGGTTCTTTGTTTTTCTTCTTGGATCAGTCTGTGTTTTTCTAATATTTTATTGGTCTGTCTGTCTAACTCACAATCCTGAAGCACTGAAGGTCCAAGATAACAGAAATCCAGCTTAGCTTGCTGCATGTCCTTGTTTACAAAAACTGTCAAAAACTGGGGAAAAAAGGCTGGATTGGTCTGGGTCCCTAATGTGAAAATAAATGTGACAAGGACTCTTCAAGGCTCAAGGTTTCATTGCAGTTTGTCCATGACAACAAATAGAAAGATTATAGAAATGGAGAAAAGAAGTTACAGATTAAATTAGCAGCTGGATTGGGTTTGGGTCAGCTGCCTTAGAGCAGATTAAGAGCCCTTTGAACACTGCTTCTGCTGGACACTCCATGGGACAGGGAAAGGATGCAGGGGCTGAAATGCTAAATGACTGTTGGAGGAGGTAATCTTAGTGGTCTTTTTTTTCCAACTTCATTGATTCAGCAATTCTATCATTATGTGAAATGCATCAGCAAGGGGAAGCAGACCCAGGCACCTATGTCAATTAGTGGAGTGAATGCAATCAGGCCATGGGGGATGTTAGAGCTTGCATAGCCCACTAGAATAGCAATGGAAGACCACAGAAGCTCAAGGAAACAAATCTAGTTCAATCTCAGCGTGATCTGGAGTGAACTGTCTCCAGAGTGGCAGCTGAGTTTTGGTTTGGAAGAAACTAAACAAGATAGAGACTTTTTACACAGTCTGACAGTGATAGGACAAAGGGAAAGGGTTTAAAACTGAAAGAGGGAAGATTTAGGTTATATGTCAGAAGGAAATTCTGTACTCAGAGGTGGAGAGGCCCTGGCACAGCTGCCCAGAGAGCTGTGGTGCCGCATCCCTGGAGGTGCTCAAGGCCAGGTTGGATGAGCCCTGGGCAGCCTGAGCTGGTGTGGGGCAACCAGCCCATGGCAGGGGTTGGAACTGGATGGGCTTTTAGATCCCTTGCAATCCAAACCTTTTTATGATTCAACAAGTCTGTGATTCTATGGTTCTAAGAGTCTACGATTAATACACTGGCACTCAGGCAAAGACAACAGTCAGTGCCCCAGGACCTGGGAATGAACTGAGAGGATGAAATATTTTCAGCAAGTGGACTTGGAGCAACAAATGCCAGTACTCGGGCAGTATGACAACATCTCCTGGCAGGCAGGATCCCATGTGATGCCCAGAGGCTTCTGTTGCCTTGGGCTTCATTGGCTTTTTTGGACTTCACCTTCTGTGGAGCATCTGGGCTGCTATCAAATGGCAATTTGATTAAGAAGCAAGAACAACGAAAAAATCAGTGCTTTGTACATTAGGTAAATTAACTGATTAACTGAAAGGTCTTGAAATGTAATTACAAGCAGAAAATCATCATCCAGAATCTCTAGTGAGGTTGATTCTCGGCACTACACTATTGAACTGCATTTATCAGTGGCTGAGTAGGCAGTGAAATGCAGTCCTCATGCTGTCCTCAGCCAGCAAACAAATGTGATGCATTTCATTATGGGCTAAAGGACAGTCCAAAACAGATGACTAGAGCCAGATCAGGTGAATCGAAGCCCAGTGCTCAGTACAGATACTTGCTGAAAGGAAGCCTTGAGTGGTGCAACGAAATGTAACGTTGAAAGTTATTTGGGATGAATCACAACAAGAGCATGTTCCTGTTGCTTTGGTAACATCTCTGACAGATAGGGCTTATGGAAAGATCACAGAATCCAAGAATGGAAAGTTAAAACTAAACAAATTCAGAATACAGACAAGAGTCAGCTTTGTAAACTGTAAGGTCCATCGAATGTTATAAATGTTAGAGCAATCTGCAAAGGATTGAGATGGATTCCTCATCACTGAAGATGCTACAGTGTAATGGGAAGCCTTTCTGAAAGTTGTGCTCTGTTTTAAATGGAAGTTTATTCAGGAGAGATCTGAATGTGGTGTCCAGCCCCAAAATCAGATCAGCGAATACCAGCGATGCATTCTGTTCACCCTCACTACCTGGTTACTAAGTCCAAGTGCAAGGAGCATCTTGACATAGAATCATAAACTGCCTTAGGTAAGAGGGGACCTCAAAACCCACCCAACCCCATCCCCTGCCATGGACTGGTTGCCTCCACCAGCTCAGGCTGCCCAGGGCCCATCAGGCTGCCCAGGGCTTTGAGCACCTCCAGGGATGGGTACCACAGCTCTCCAGGCAGCTGCACACCTCACAGGTACCAAGAGTAACACACATGTCTCAAAATGAACTCTTAATGCCTTAATGAGAAGTGGTGGTCATTTGAGTGTTCCATTTGCCATGGATGGCAAAGCATAAAGAAAAGAAGGCCTTTAGCAGCATTGCAGTCCCTGGAGACAACACAGAGATTGTGTCCTGGAACAGTTCAAAGAAATTAATGTCTCCTTAACATGAGTTCATGCTAACTTGCCTGCAGTCTGTAAATGATTACTGTTCAACCCCATAGGGGTAGAACTAGAGTAAGATCATTGAAGATGCCTGGGCTGTATAACTTCTTCATCAGGAGGAAACTCATCTCTGAACACATTTATCTGGGAGTAGGATTGTGAAAATAGTGGAAATGAGGCTGAAATCTAACCCATGATCTCTGTCCTTGGGTTCCTCCCATTCATGCAATTAAAACACAGCTTCTCCACAGGTCTACAAGAAGTTTTCAGAAAGCAGAAATCAAAAACAAAAACAACTGAGGAACATGGTTAGTGGGCATGGTGGGGTGGGTTGACTGTTGGATTAGGTGATCTTAGAGGTCTTTTCCAACCATAGTGATCCTCTGATTCTAACTTTGCAGTGGAGGTAATGTCTGACATTCGGGTACTGTTGAAACCAACAGCAAAACTTACAACTAGCTGGCTGGATATAAAACTTGGTATTTCTAGTTGGAATTTCACTGTGGAGCATCATCATGCTCTTGCCATGTTGCTTCTAAAGCATGTATAATGTCTGAGAGCCCTTATCCAAGTGTTGTCTATGACAACAATAAAACACTCATGTAGAAAAGGATGTTTACTGTCAACAAGTGATACCAAAATTCACTCAGACAATCCTGCAGGCTGAGTCAGTGTGGGAGAGGACCCACCATGCTCTCTAGGAGCTGAATGTCACCATAGTCAGCCCCCTCTGCCCTGCACAACTTGGAGAATTGGGTTGGTTTGGAATTTGGAAGGTTCAGGAGGTGATGTACAATAGAGGCTGCGCTCACTGCTGCCCCTGCTCTGCTGTTGTAGGTGAGAGAGCCCATAAGTCAAGTCTGGGTCTGTGAAGTTTTATTTGGACCACAACACTCTTCATACCCCTCTGGTGTGAGTGGCAGGCAGGGATTTTGTCACTGCTCAAAACTGAGGAGTCTCATTCTTCAAATCAGGTTTTGAGAGTGTACTAAAAAGTCAGGATGACTTAAGACTCTTTTCCCTTAAAGCCTGCAGCTCTGTCATGTCCTGTGAGATGTGCCCTGTTGTGCAGTGCCAACGTTCTCACCTCCTCACTAAATATTTTAGGGACAGATTTCTTCCAGCTCCCCACTCTCACACCTCAGATGCAGAGGCTTTGATAATTTACTCTCTAGCACCACCTAAACGCAGCTCCGAGCAACAGAAACCAGCTCTCCTTTACGGAGCCCAGAGGAAGCCCGGCCAGTGTCCTCACCAGGAGGCACAGGTTGCCACCATGCGCCACATCGTGCCACTTGCTGGATAGAAGTGTACCCCCCAAAATCTTTGAGGTCCCTTCCAACCCAAGCCATTCTACGATCCTATGCCTGCAGTCCCTCCCCGCTTACCATGCACCATGTGCCTCTGCTGGGAGGTCCACTGCTGACTGTGATGGCATGCATGACCTCCTCCACCAAGCACAGCACACTCCTACAAATTAGAGGCAAAAAATAAATGAAGTTTTTACCTCTGGAATGTTCACGGCAGTCCTTAAGTTCTTCCCACGCACAGGTTGAGATGGGGAGCTGGGGCCACAGCTCTAATTGTTGTTGTGATGTCCATGATGAATCCACTCCCTGTGCATATACAAGGGGCTGAGCTGGGGCTGCCCTGGGTTACCCACACTTGCTGCCACAGCAGACACCATAATTACACCAGTATACTCAATCACATCATTATTCAAAAGAACACATGCCTAAAATGCTTCAGCAGCCATTCTGCAGGGCTGGATGAATTTGATTTGATTCACTTTGGTGCTGCCTATTCCCAGCTTCTCCCACATGCCCAGACAAGGGCAGTGAGGCCAGGAGCACTGAGCACAGCTTGCTGGGGAGCACGTGGCACAGAACTTCTGCAAGCTCAGAGAGCTAAACAGAATGATAGACTCACAGAGGCATAGAATGGCTTGGGTTGGAAGGGACCTCAAAGATCACCAAGCTCCAACCTCATCATAAAACAGGTGGTAAAAGGCTTCCGCTTTTGGCAGCTTGGTTAGACCAAGTGAGGACACGGCTGTGCTGACAGAGCAGGTCACAGGACATCCTTTGCACCAAATGTTCACTAAATGAAATGGAGAGTTGTCAGGTGATCTGCATAAAAATACCTACTGAGATATTTAAACGGTCTGTTTAATCTAGACTTAGTTTAATCATGCTTAATTATTGCCTTGCTTAATTATAGCTCAGGCTTAATTCTTTTTAATTTCTCACCAAATCTGTGCATATCACTGCTCTGGCATCTCAGGACAGTGACCAGATTAGACAAAGGCAACGGGCTTAATCTCCTGAGACATCCCAGGGTTTGTGATGACAAAGTGCTGGTGTGGTAATGGAGAGGAGAAAACCAAAAGTTGCAGGGAAAGGAGGGAAGGTTGAAGAGTCCCTCTGTGTATTCGCCCTTTTTTTAAGATTGTTTTCCTTTGGCATGCAGTGGATAGATGGATAGTGGATATCCCAAAAATATTTACACTCCTGATAGTGAATAATACAAAATCACAGAATAGAATCACAGAAGGTTGGAAAAGACCTAAAGACCATGCAGTCCAACTGTTCACCTCTCACCAGTATTCCCCACTAAACCATGTCCCTAAGTACTGCATCTACCCTTTCCTTAAACACCTCCAGGGATGGTGACTCTGCCACCTCCCTGGGCAGCCTGTGCCAATGCCTCACCACCCTTATTGTCAAAACTTTCCCTTATATCCAGTCTAAATATCTTCGGAAACGATTTGACGATTCTTACATGAGACAGAAGCTGCTTTTGTATCTTTATTTGTGTGGTACCACGCTAATTAGGCTCTTTGCTAGATAACACACAGTAACCTCAGACCTCAGATAATGCTGTTATGTGAAGGGTTATATGATTACTGACCTTCTGGTGTCATGGCCAAACCAGAACATAAATATTGTTATTTCACCACAAACATATTGTTATTTTCCTGGTATTACCTTGTCTTCATTTTCTGTTTTTTTGTGGGGCTAACATTCCACAATAAATGAAACAGACACCCAATTGTTCCCTTCCATCCCACCTCCCCAAAAATGTCCATACTTGCTCTGCATTTCCCATTTGTTGGGTGAGAGCTTTGCTGTTGAATGAAAATCAAGATAAGAAAGAGAGCACAACCTGCTTGTGGGATTTTGGAGCTGAGCCCAGGGAAAAGAATCATGAAATTAATCACTACAAAGGAATCAAATTCTTGAACAGCTTTAGATGAATCAAACAAGATTTTGAAATATTTACCAACTATTAATCTTGATGATGCCTTATGCTGCTTTAATTTATAGAGCTGGGCCATAAAATCTGATAAACAAGCCTCCAAACGGCACGTGTACATCTCTCTGGGTGAGATGGTGTGCCTGTGTCACCAGATGCCCACCGACCACATCAGTCTGGGTATCCCACCTCAGCAGCTTTGGTAAGAGTGATGCAGAGGTGCAGCCCTTACCTTCCTTCAGCATCTGGGACCACCCTGATGGCAGGTCACAGCATCGCAAAATCTTCAAAGTTGGAAAAGACCTCTAAGGTCATCAAGTCAAACCATTGACCCATCCCCACAGTGCCCTCTGAACCATGTCCCTCAGGGTCACATCTCCATGTTTCCCAATGTCCTCCGGGCAACTGTTACTGCAGTGCCCATGTCTGTGCTGGGGGCTAAAAGCAGGAGGAGAGGGGTGCCAGCTCCTCAATACAAGCAAGAATCTCTTCTAATCTAGCAGAGTGTGGGTATGTTTTTAAGGACAAACCTGCCTTGGTGGTTCAGTGGCTGCTTCTTGGGATGAAACTGTTTCTCCTGGCACGGTTTGTAGGGTACAAATCACATCTCACTGTAATGGTTTTTGTCCCAGTGTCTTAAACATCATCTGCAGGTGCGTGAGTTGGACCAAGAAGAGGGAAGGAAGACAAGGGTGCTCAGTGGCACTGCAATCACCCGGACATCCCTGCTTGAAGTACTTTGATTTGATAAATGTTATTTCCAAATGGGAAAAAATCTGTGCTTCCTCACATATTCATTTCTATGTCATTCAAAGGTGAAGTTCACTTTGTTTCTTCTTTTCCTCTATTTTCCTCCCAAATCCACAGACCTCAAACCACAGAGAGACTCAGCTCAGATAGCTCAAATAACAGAGGAATGCTGACAAACCAGCACTGCCCCGAGCCTCTCCTATTGCAGCTATTGATTCATCAGGGGTGAGAGAAGGGCTTTTTGTCCCAAAACATCTTCCAAAACAGTAACAGACAAAAAGAAAATGTTTAGACATAATGAAGATTTGGCCATTTTCTACTTTGAAGGGCTTTTTTCATCCTCTGTGGAAGGAAGGAGCGTTTTTTAAGACTGAAATCTCACCATCCTCTCAATGAATGTCCTTCCCACTTCCAAAAGGACAGAATAAGGCAAGCCTGGACCACTGACAGCATATGGAGGAGGGAGCAGCAGGAAGCTGCCTCTTTCCCTTGTTTCTCTGGCACACGGTTCTGCTGCTGCCCAGACCTCCCCACCAACTGCTTCTACCAAAAGCATCTTGAAGAAACACAGAGCTGACCCTCTGACCCTGCAGTTGCAATGTCATCCCATCCATGGTGATGTTTCTTTTCTGAATTTTCTCTGGTGGTGAAATTGCCTCTTACATAAGGTTAGAACTGCTGTGCATTTTTAACACTGGGGAATTTATTTTTTTGTTTTCGTTAGCAAAAGGCAAGGTCAGGCCTTTGTCTTCTGTCCAAAAACACATCAAAGGAAAAGGGTGAGTAAAAAAACACAACAACAACAACAAAACCTCTGTCTAAAGCATTTCAGAGTACTCATGCAGCATATTAGAGAGTAAAAAGAGCTTCCTGGCTCCTATCTGACTGTTGTTGCAGTTGTTAATGTGGTTTTGTTCCATTATTAATGACACCAGCAGAAAAAATCAGACCTTGCAGACAAACTTGAGAGACTCTCAGAGAGCAAAGCGGAGAGGGGAGCCCTTAAAGCAGGGGAAATAAGTGAAGGGAAGGGGGAAATAAAATGAATACTGGAGTTAATCATGCAGCAGTAAAGCTCTCCAGGTGTCTCTGGCTCTGTATGGATGGTGAAACTTTCACAAAGTCTATAAATCATTCCCAGAGCTGGCTGCTTTAAGGGCACTTTGTAATTAAACATGAAAAACTGCTTACTTACAGCCTGTGCTTTATTGTTTGATATGCTTGTGCTCTCTAGAACTGCTGCTTGGAAAAGTGATTAAATCACACCCAGAAGGGCAGCACTAATGGATGAAACCTCCATAACCCTGGGCAGCGTATCATTCCTCCATCTGAATGCAGCAGGACAGGATTTCAATAAAGAGCTTAGTTAGGAAAATGCATGATGAATATGCCGAGCTAAGTAATCTCAGCATTAATGACCCACTTTACAGCTTTCCTGTAAAGTTTCTCTGGTTTAGCTGCCACATCTGCTAGAGCTCTCCTACTGCATTTTGGGTGCTGGGGGTGACCGGGGCTACTGATCACCTGGGCTTGCCACAACTCAGGCAATCCAATCTAACTCAGGTTAGATTAGGTTAGATTATTTTAGATATGTTAGATGTTAATAGAAAACATTATATGAACTCCTTGAAGTCAAACAGTTTGTGCCAGGGGCTACAAACCACTGCGTTCAGACACCGCTGAGAGCATGAGTGGCTTTTCTAAAGCCTTTAGAGCCCTTAAGTGATGCTTCTCGTGCACTAAACTCACAGAACCATTGAAAGGTTTCAGTTGAAAGAGATCTCAAAGCCCACCCAGCCCCAACCCCTGCCATGGGCTGGTTGCTCCCAACCAGCTCAGCTGCCCAGGGCCCATCCAACCTGGCCTTGAGCACCTCCACGGATGGGGCACCACAGCTCTCTGGGCAGCTGGGCCAGGGCTTCACCACCTTCTAAGTACAGAATTTCTTCATAGCATCAAACCTAAGCTTCTCCTCTTTTAGTTTAAAGCTTTTTCCCCTTCTTCTATCGCTATAAAAAGTTGGTCTCTTTTCTGCCTGTAAGCTCCCTTCAAGTACTGGAAGGTCACAATGAAGTCTCCCCAGCACCCTCTCTTCTCCAGACTGAACAAGCCCAACTCCCTCAGCCTTTCTTCACAGGAGGGGTGCTCCAGCCTCAACCCCCTGCAATTTGGGAGAGCAGATTGCGATTCAGCCTGGGCACAAATCAGCCTGGCCCACACCAGGCACTGCAGAGCTCCTCAAGCCATCCAGCTCACAAGGATGAGGGATACTGAGACAGAAGGTGAAAACTCCTCCACACACACGGTTTGCTGAAGAAGTTGGCACTTGCCAACTTTAAGGCAGTAAATCCTGTGAGCTGCTGAGCTGAATATTGAGAAACTCCACAAGGAATTGGGGCAGAAGCAACCAGGCTGAGTTTCCTCCTTGACCCATGTCCTCAGCAGCAGCCCTATGGCCTGGAATCTGATTAAATACTTCCTTAATACTGACTATTTTCTCATGTACTGCAGGGTGTTTCTTGAGGCACAAGTTTGGTTGGTTGGTTTTGGTTGGTTGTTTTTTCGTACTTCAATGTTCAATAATTTTCCCTCAAAAAAGAAGGAACAAAAATGTCTTTGCTGTTAATCATTGATGCTGAAAACAAACACCCATTTCTTATCCCAAGACTGAACACTTGCCGTATGCTGCAAAGCCAAAACTTCCACTATCTGGGAAGCACTCATGATCTGGATTTCAACTTCATGACTGCCACCTGTCATCAATAGAACAGATTAAATCACTGGAACCAGTGTGACACATTTTAAATTACAGTTAAATCCATTTTATACAAGCTCTTGCCCCATACGCTGCCAAAGCAGGTCATTGAGCCAAGAGCCCAAAAACAATTTAATAAAGGCTCAAAGAAATGAATAGGGATAATGGCATAAAGTCACATCGCCATGAGACCTTCAATGCTTTGAGGAATAAAACTGCTATGAAGAGATGGGGTCAGGAAGAAATTTGCCACTGGGGTCTCCTGGGGGAAGGACCCCCATCGCTTTTTGCTGTAATATCATTTTCAGCACAAGCACAATGCTGGCTTGTTCGAGAGAAGGGGAAACCACAGGAGCAGCTCAAACAGATGTTGTGAACTTTGTGGGTTCTGTACAGAGGATGTGGACCCTCAGACACTCCAGCACCATGGCTGTGCAGGGTGCAAAACTTCTGCAGAGCTCTCACTGGCTTTTCTTGCTCTTGTACCCTCATCTGCCATCTCTTTCTTGAGTTTTCAGGAATGTACCAGGTGTCAGGTAAGCAGGAGAATTTATTGTGAATATGCATTGTGAATAAAAGCTGAGCCCTGAGTTCATGGAGGTTGCATCCTCTCTAGTCAAGGGCTGAGCTAAGAGCTTGAGGGCTCACTTCTCACCTCCCCTTTGTTGCCTCCTGTACTGGGGCTGTGCTCCTGTAGGAGCTCTCTGTGACCCTTCATCAATCAAGGGATGCATATGGCAATGGCAGTGACCATTTCTAAGCAAGGATTCATTCTCAGGATTGGGGCACTTGCAAGTTTTCCAACCCCATTTCTCCTATCTCTTACTGTCCTAGCTTTTCTGAAAGGATGACCAGCATTTCTGTGGGCTTCTTCCAGAAGGTGACACTCAGTACTTATGCTGGACATGGAGTGATGGGAACAGACTCATTTTCCATACGGTCATCTGAGATGGTGAACTGCTCCCTGGGGACAGAGGCGCTCTCTCTCGTCTTTATCCATATGAGACTGTTCAAAGAATCACAGAATGGCTGAGACTGGGGGGCTCTCTGACTCCATTTGCTCCAACCCTGCTCCAGCAGGGACACCCAGCGCAGGGTGCCCAGGACTGCATCCAGGTGGCTTTGGCAGATCTCCAAGGAGGAGATCCCACAGCCTTTGTGTAACGTGTGCCATTGCTCCATCACCTGCACAGCACAGAGGTGCTCCTGGTGCTCAGAGGGAACCTCCTGTGCTCCAGTTTGTGCCCATTGCCTCCTGTCCTGGCACTGGGCACTGTTGACAAGAGCCTGTCCGTAAGTACCACCCCTCAGGTACATATGGACATGAACGAGATCCCCCTGAGCCTCCTCATCTCCAGACTGAACAGTCCCAGCTCCCTCAGACTCAGTCAAAGGGTTTCCATTTTGGGTGACTGTGTAGAGCCAGCTGGACTCGACCGTCCTGTGGGTCATTAAGGTTGGAAAAGACCTCTAAGCTGACCACGTCCAGCCGCAGCCACCCCGCCGTGCCCGGTCCCTCAGCGCCACATCTCCGCGGTTCCCGGGCACCTCCAGGACGGTGACTCCACCCCTCCCTGAGCCGCCCGTGCCAGCGCCTCACCGCCCTTACCGAGAAGAAATGCTTCTAATACCCAACCCGAGCCTCTCCTAGCGCAACTGAAGGCCATTCCCTCTCGTCCTATCGCTGTTACGTGCGAGCAGAGCCGACCCCCACCCGGCCACAACCTCCCCTTCCAGCTCGGGCTCTGCCACGCGGCTCCCTTGGCGGCCAATTGCATCCCGCGATCGTATCGGGGCAGGGAGGAGAGGCGCGGGGAAGGGTCGGCGGGGAGGAGGAGGCCGCAGCCCGTTCTCGCGGGCCCCGCCCGGCGGGGTCAATGCCGGCGCCGCGGCCGCTCTCCGATGAGATTTGTGCGGGGCTGTCGGAGACGCGGTGCCATCGTGGGGACCGTCACCCTCTGCCTGGCGGCCGGCTGGGCTCTGCAGAGTAAGTGCGCCCGTCCCCTTCCTTCTTCCTCCTGCGTGCGCCCGTCGCCCTTGGCCGCGCCGTGGCCGCTTGCGGGCGCTGGGTGCGACGTTTGCTGTGCGGGCTGCCGCGTTTCTCTTGGGGTCCAACCGGCAGGACCGCGTGTCACAGATGTTTGTCGGTGTTCAGATCTTGCGGTGCTGCGTTTGGCTCCGTGGGCTGCGTGGGGAGTTCAGGTATTTGCAGATAGTTCAGTGGAAGGGCGTATCTTTTTAACCTTTACCTTGCAGTCATATATGCAAAAGAACTGCCTTTATCCCGGCATTAGAAGGCACTGCAGAGAGACTGTCAGCTCAGCTCTGGTCAGAAACAGAGCAAAAGGCCTTTAAATAAACGCAGGGAACTGAAAACAACGGGAACAGTTTGCAGCGGTTACCGGGAGCTCCCATCTGTTTGTCTCACTGCCACAAAGCCCTTTCCCTGGCCTGCGCTGTCTCTGGTGAAGGCAGGCTGAAGGCGAGCACCGCCTGGCCGAGAATGCCGCGGTGCTGTGGGAGGGCATGGCGAGAACCCACGGAGGGAGAATCCCAGCAGTCGTGTCCTGGGAAGAGCTGAGGTCCCACTGCTGTTCCAGCTCGGCAGCAGCAGTCAGGCTACTGCTACTGAGGGTGGGGGAGCTGACACAGGAAAAGCCCCCCCCCCCCCCCCCCCCCCGTGCTTTATCTGCCTTCAGTCTGGTTTGATTTCTGCAGGCAGGAAACCCAGCCTCTCGCCAAGTATCACTAACGTGCCATTAACTCAAAAACGACGTGTGCCCATTGAAACTCAAATGTTTGGTGTTCTTCCAAATCCTCATGCAGGAAAACCCCCCATGCAAGTAGGGTTATCGCAGTTACACATTAAACCAAATGATCCATTCTGTTCAGCAGTTACGAGCAGCTCCATAATCACATTAGTGGGAAGTGTGTGATAATTATTTTTTCATATACATTTTTGCCTGGAAGTTGGTGCAACAAGATCCCTCTGATGATGTGATTTATCTGCACTGGCAGGTAGCTGGCTGTCCTGATGTAGCTGTTCTCTCAAACACTGCTAACATATTATTTCTGATTTAAAGCCTACGTGACATCTCCAGCAGCCTGCTGTCCCTCTCATTATGCAAACACGATGAAGTCCTTGCCAAGTCTTCACGTACCTAAGCTTGCTACAGTCCGTGCTTTGGGGGGATGATTAGTTGATATAACAGCTTACTTTGGCCATGGCTGTTAAGATTTCCATTTTAAACATAGGACTTCAAAGGCAAGCCAGTTACTGGTGAACACAAAAGCATTACTCTTGATCCACGGCATGAGGTAAATAAACCAGGTTTTGTATTTCGTCAGAATGTTTGTTGTCATTTTAGTGTGGGCATTAGGCTGACTTGGTCTGTCTGAAGTCCCTATAAACTGGAATATTGTAATTGACTTTGGAAATCATAAATGCCATCCCTGTTTTGTTTGTTTGTTAAGTGCTTGGCAATTGAGTTGTAAATACATTACTGTGAAATGTACTGACTTTGGGGACACAGGAGAGATGGAGCTTTGGACTGTTCCCAAAAGACAGTTCATTTACCTCTGAGGAGGCTGTGGGTTGCAGGGCTTTGAGAGCTTATGAAGAAAGTGCAGCACCTACTTTTCCCATACATGATAAAATACATTAAGGATGAGGTTTATGAGAACATGATGCGATTTCCATTTCTCAATTTGAGGTAGTCAAAAGACCAGAGCTTCACACTTCCTTCTCAGAAAGACCCTTCCACACTGTTTCCTCGAAACACTGAAACACAAGCTGTTACTTGTCCTGTAAGACACAGACATTTCTTCTGACTACAACCAAATAAAGCACGTATTTAGTCTTACGTTAGACATGTGTATTCCTACAGTGGTCAACAGAGAGAGAAACTCCTGTCCTGAAGTCACTAAGATAGGATGAAGTGCCCTCCCAAGAGGTCCCACCCTGCCCAGGATATTCAAGTGCTGCACCCCTCCTGCACTCATTGCCCCCTTTGTCTTTCAGCTCCTGGAGGAGTGTCGTTAATTGTCCCGCAGCCCAACATCAACGCAACGGTGGCACAGAATGTCCTCCTCTCTGTTGAGTACTCCTGTAGAGGCATTGCCACTGTGGAGTGGAAACATGTGTCGAGCTGGGGCACCACCAAAATTGTGGAGTGGAAAAGTGGGAATTACATCAACATATCCAGCGCCTATAAGGACAGAGTGACTACTTTTGAAAATGGTTCTATACAGCTTCTGAACGTGGGCATGAGAGATGCTGGCTACTATTTTATCACAGTCACAGAAGAGTATGGAACCAACACCTATGGCACCATCATACTCAATGTTTATGGTATGAAACTCATGGGATTTCTTAGCCTTACCCTGTGTTTAAACACTAACCTGCTCATAAGCAATGTCGTAACATCACGCATTTCTGCCCTCTTTGCAGAGATTATCTATGAAGATTTACATTTCGTAGTGGTTCTCTTTGTATTTCTTGCTGCAGTATCTGCCATTTTGATCTGCTTCATGTGGCTGTGTAACAAATCCCTCTACCTGTTCCAGAAGAAGACACATAAGCTAACAGGTATCTAAGAATGCAGCCCAGACACACGTTTTTCCAATCTGAGAAATTTGAGAAACTCACTCATGGTTTGAGCTGTAAAGGTGTGAAGCGGTGACATAGAAAAACGAAATTGGAAGGGCTTGGCTGAGTCATCCTGTTTAACTCTTTACTAACAGAGGCAACTGAATAATAGGTATTAAATTGAAAAAGATCCACAGGACATCTACCTTGTATTTTATATCAGAAACCAAAGAACACTTCCCTACATCATTAGCTGCTGCTGTTTTTTCACAGTGGACACACAGCTCATGAGCTTCTGTAGCTACTGAAAATGTTCTTACCCTGCCAGAGTTTGGGTAAAGCCTCTCCTCCCTCCAGTTAAAGACAATTTTCCTATGCAGCAAGAGTTCTTCAGAGTCTGAATTCAGTGCACTCCTTGGCAGACTTCAGGAATACTGCAGTTCTGGAGACTGGCTCTGTCATCATCCAGAACAGGATCCAATGACTTATGTTTCAGTCCCATCTTAGGAGAGCCCTCCTTTGGAAGTCATGGAGCCCTGTGGACTTTGTTTCACTTTCCATAGTGCTTTTTGTTGTACTTGACAACTACTGTCACATTCAGGGTTCTGAGGGACTTATTATGTGGTCAAATATTTTGAAAAGATGTACTTAAAAGCAAATTCTAGATGAGTAAAACTGGAGTTAAAATTAAAAATGTCTCAGCTATTAACGTGGAGTTGTTAATTTTGCAATGCTGACCTTCCCATCCACTTGCCAATCAATAATTTCATCCTTTCATTTGCAGCAAGTACAACTGAAGAAATTGAATTGGAAACCATTGAGTGTTAGCCAAGGACTGTCTCATAACAAAAATAACAACTCTACCTCAGGAGAAAGTATTGGCAAGAAAAGCAAGAAGGAACCTAAAAGGTAAAGTATTTGTGACTACCATAAGAAATTCCTGACTGACGCTGCTAATACAGGACCTGAAATCAGCAGTGTCTGATGGACTTGTTTTGACCTGTTATGATTTCAGCTCTGCTACTCAGAGTACGTGTTCATGGCTGAGCACAAACACATTTTTGTGGCTAACTAATAAAATCCACAGCCTCTGCCACTCCTAAAAACAACCAACCAATAATATCTACCTGTAAGAAAATGATAGTGTTCCTGCAGGACACTTGCATTTTGGCTACAGCAAGTCCCCTGTTATACGCAGAATAGCCATTAGGATCACTCTACGATCCTACGAATAAATTTAGTGTCTAATTACAATATTAAATTAAAAAATTAACTGCAAGGGTTGAATCCTGTTTATTATGCACATGCTGCTACTTTCAGTCATAAGGAATTTCCCAAAGCTCTGAACACAAGCTGTAATTCTGAGACAAAACTGACATTGAAATAATGCCAAGATGGTCAAAGTTCCTCTGCTTATGCTTCCAGTTGTTTACACTGCCCAGGGACATGAACACACATTTTATGACATTACTAGGAAAGGCTGTCGAACAAGGAACTGTGCACAGGCACTGAAGATGATGCTGTCTGAAATGACTGAAGGATATAAAAAACTGACCCCACACCAGTAGAGTGGCAAAACACTGAAAATGTAAGTGACCAAGGGCTAGTCTGTGTCTACAGATAGCACATGGCTTTTTGAGCTTAACTGCTGCTACTGCCTCTTCCACACTTCACTCACTTGTCTCATAAAGTTTTTACGAGTCGTAGAATCATAGAATTGTTAGAGTTGGAAGGGACCTTTCAAGGCTGCCTGGTCCAACCCTCCTGCAGCAAACAGGGACATCTACAGCTTGATCAGGTGCTCAGAGCCCCATCCTGTCTGACCTTGAGTGTCTCCAGGCGTGGGCAACCCACCACCTCTCTCAGATGACAGTTTCCCTCTTCTCAAGGTCAGCATTGCTCAGCAGCTGAGGTACCACAGGTTTGATCCATGAAAACAAAGAACTTCCTATCAAGTGCCTAACAGTGCAGATAGAAGCCACAAAGGCTTTTTCCAAAGCACTTGGAACACAACACTTCTGAAAAGTCAGCCCCAGACTGAACGGCCATTGCAGTGCATAGGGCCTTACAGCCACTCATTGATTCAGCTGTAAGATTCAGCTGGTTGCTCCTTCCTGCACCCAGGAATTAAGAAACTGAAAAATAAATGAAAATCCCAGATAAAACACAGCTCAACGAAGGAACAGTTTGTTCCAGTTCTTCACACTAAAAATGTATTGCCAGTCCTCTGCATGTCTGAGTGAATTAAACCTAGGTGACACAGAAGCTGAAAGTGTTTCCTTTAAGTTTGAAGGACTCTGAAAGGTATTCATGTAACATACGGAATACTTTTATTTCTGCATACCTATTTCCATTTATTACTTTTAATTCCCAAATCTTAGAACTTAAAGTGAATAGGCTAAGCTGAGCACATATCTAGAGTTGCTTAGAAAATATGATAAGTGCAGCTGACATTTAAAACCATTTCTTGCCTACAAATATTTACTTGAATAAATATGACAAGTCAGAAAATATAGGCAGGCACAAATGCCCTGACTCGAAAGTTGGTGACCACTGAAAACCCTTACAGTGTACATGCACTGTAAAAGCAAAGAGAAGTTCCCAGCTAGCATAGTAGAGCCCTGTAAAGAACGACCAGGGGGTCTGGTGGATGAAAACCTTAACATGAGCCAGCAGTGTGCTTTTGCAGCTCAGAAAGCAAATGGTATCCTGGGCTTCATCAGCAGAAGGGTGTCCTGCAGGGACAGGGAGGTGATTGTCCCCCTCTGCTCTGCTCTTGTGAGGCCCCATCTGCAGTACTGTGTCCAGGTCTGGAGCCCCCAGCACAAAAAAGACAGAGAGCTGTTGGAGAGGGTCCAGAGGAGGGCCACAAAGATGATCAGGGGACTGGAGCACCTCCCCTACGAGGACAGGCTGAGGGAGCTGATCTTGTTCAGCCTGGAGAAAAGAAGGCTGCAGGGTGACCTCATTGCAGCCTTCCAGTACCTCAAGGGAATCTACAAACAGGAGGGGACTCAACTGTAGATAACTGCAGGACAAGGGGAAATGGTTTTAAGTGGAGGGAGGAAAGATTTAGGTTGGATGCCAGGGGGAAATTCTTTACTATGAGAGTGGTGAGGTGCTGGAACAGCTGCCCAGAGAGGTTGTGGATGCCCCATCCCTGGAGGTGTTCAAGGCCAGGTTGGATGGGGCCCTGGGCAGCCTGGTCTGGTATTAAATGGGGAGGTTGGTGGCCCTGCATGTGGCAGGGGGTTGGAGCGTCACAATCTTTGAGGGCCCTTTCAACCCAGGCCATTCTATGATTGATAGTTGGAGCTCTGAGCTTGGTGAAAGATACAGCAGCATCAGATACCCAGCCTTGGCTATAGATGCTTTTAGATAGTGGTAGCCAGAGGAACAAGGAGGCAGTAACTGGACTGCACACTGCTTTTCCCATAGACAACTCCTCGCTGAAAAATTTTATCCAAATTTTAAAATGGTTACTGGTACAGCAATAAATTATTCCCAATTCTGTGAAACTGGTATTTGTCAATAATATTACTTGTTGCAGTAACTGATATAAAGAACATGAGGATGAAATGCCTGTGGCAGTCCATTGCTGCACACGAGCTGGCTGAAGAATGTAAAATTTTTCTGCAAGCTGTTACAAAAGCATAAGCTTACAAATTAATAGCAATTCATTTTCCACTTATAAACTGCATGCAAAACTGCAGCAAAAGGTAATATTTGGAAGATTCCAAGAGATCAAGGACATTAATGCATTTTGCATTTAAACTGTAATTAAAGAGATGTCCAAGTTCACAAAACTGCTTTCGTAATCAAGTATAAAGGTCTCAGTGCTCTCTAAATGTACCCAGCTTGTGCTTAAAGGCATACTGCTAAGAGCTCCAACTTCGTGTCTCAATTTAGAGGTCATCCCAGCCTGTTTTCCATCAGTATTGAATATTCCTTTTGTGAAAGGCACTCTGCAGGCTCCTAACCATGGGGTGTTGTTTTTTTACTAACAGCTAAGCCTGAAAGTCTAAACAACTTTCTGCGCCCATCACATCCATGCATTTCTGAAACAAGATAAATGATCCCCCTGCATCCTTCTTTTTCCTCCAGAAGGAAACAAATCCTGCAAGCGTGACAATTTCATAGCTCCAAAGTGATTATTTGGTAACCAAGTGCTTCTTTGACAAAAAGGCTGCTGCTCCATGCAGACTTGTCAGTTGAGGTTGAAAACAGTGAGGTACACAGATCCATTTAATTAATTTTTCATATGTACATCTGATTTTGGGTGAGATTTTTGTGCTGTGTCAGGTGCACAACGTGCTGGGAGCTGCACTGCCACCCCCTGTTCAGCAAGGAGCAAAACCTGCTAGCCAAGCAATATGGGAACAGGCAGTCGTGTAAGATTCACCCACCCCGAGACCTGTGTGCTATTTTCAACCATTATTTTTTCAATTTCATGAATTATCCAAGACACCTTATGAGAAATGCCTTTCTCTGCCACAGTCCAGTTGCACATAATTAAGAACTTCAAGGAACTGAAATAACAGTATGTTCCACAATGGAAAATTTCAACACAGTATAATAGCTGCTTTGGATACACACTGAACAGCAGCTTGCCAAAAACAGTTGCTTAATAGGTATTTCTAACAGCTATTCCATATTGCTCAAGAACGTAGCAAAAGAACAACTGTCACTACAGAAGGACGGTGTTCAATTCAAGCGTGTTCTATGTGCAAAAAGTTCTTTTCTGTGTATGTATGTATATACACACCTTGTAACACAATGTAGATGAAAATCTTAACCAGTTTACACAGACCAGTTTCAAAAAGACCTTTAGCCATTAATAACAAAACAAAAGGAAAACTGGGCAAAACTTTAGTAGAAACATCAAGGCAGCTATAATTACAACAAAGAAAGAGAAACAAACAAAATTACCTCTTGAAGACCTCAAGGGAGCTGACCTCTAAGAGAATACTATCATTTTTCTGAATGGCAGTGAATGCCAGGGTAGAAAACAAAGAACAGGATGACTATGGAGATCCAAGGCTTACTACACGAGTTACCTGCTCTTCCTCTTCCCAGTCTGTTCCTTCTAGACATGAATTTACACAAAAAAGTTACACAAAAATTCAAACTGGCAGGAGAATTTTACACGTAAAGATCATTTCCTCAACAAGCTTGCAAACAACAGAAATTGCAAGCAAAGTAACAAATAGTGCATAAAGTCACCTACAGCCACGTCACAAGCTGTGACTTTACAACCCTCAACACCACTGTGCCTCTCCACAAGAAATTCAGTGCGTGACCCAGAGCCTTTTTATCAGAAACATTTGTAAAAATCTGTTCAGAAAAAGCAGAGGCTGGGAAGGAAAGGGTATCATTTTGAGCAGGCACCTTTCATAAGGCAAAGGACTCTTGAATTTCATTTTATAGAAGAAAAATACAATAATCACTTAGGAATGTTGGTCTAGGTAGAGCAGCCTGCAGAGATACAGCTGAAAGGAACTCTTGGAAAAAGTATTGCACATCATTAATAATGCTTTATTATAAACCCTACAACAGATGCATCTGTACAGGAAATAGATGTGGTTTTGTTTTCTTGTGTAGCCCCACAGGCTGAATCATCCTTTGTTGCACAGGCAGCACAGCAACGACTCAAAGCCCCCACGAGGAGACTGAGAGATGATCAGCATGGAGTCAGGGCTGCCATGAGCAGCTCCATTTTATACACGAAGTTGCGCCCTTCCATTTTATTCCACTGGACTTCCTTGAAGGGCCCTCGAAGATGGTTCCACTTGTTGTCCTGCAGCACGTCGCCCTTGGGGAGATCTTTGCACTGACTCCGTGGAAACTGAACCATAACTTTGCTGCCACTTTCAGGACCATTACGTACTGTGATGAACAAGGATTTTATGAGTATTTTTACTCATGTTAAACACCCTCCCTCATGTATGCAGTACATTATTGTTGAGTCAATTCCAAACATACTGAAAACAAATGACAAATTGCCTTACATATATTTATGTTGTAAGCTGGTTTCACACTTTTTCACTACAGTTTTTATGTTGGCACTGCTCTTTGCTAAAGCAAATCAAAGAAACATTTGACAAACAATCCACAGAATACACATTTCACATAAAGTGCAAAGAAAAATAGCCTTAATAATATCAAGTTGTTGGGTGGTTCTCTTTTTTTCCCCTTCTTAATTCTTATCTCTAAGGTGATCCCTACCATTCTATTCCAGAAAGTACATTTTAATTTTCATGAGCTGCATCTATTAAATATTCATTCTATTGGATACCTCTCTGGAGAGGAACGAAGTCAGGACTGCTGATATCAAACTGCAAGATAGGTGGAGAGAGAGTGATATTCTCCAAGTCTAGGTGACAGTTTTTTTGCTTGTATTTCTTCGTTGCATTTATTTCTTTTCTTTTGGTGGTGGAGAGCTCATTATTTGGTTAAGGAGGTAACACTCAGCTTTCCCAAACATTACACCTGTGGCAGCGGATCAAAACTGCTGTATGACCACTTCAGATCTGAGAAGCACAGGTGGAGACACAACTTATGCACCAACCAAAACTAACACGTGTGGATCCAGAAGCTACCTCAGCTGCCAGTTCTTTGCCTATGAAAGATAATCTTCAAAATGTAGACCAGAGGAGCCTAGTCTTCATCTAGTCGAAACCCCTGGCACAAAGCAAGGTCTTCAAGAGCAGGTTGTTCAGAAAGATTTCCAGTCAGGTTCCCACAGCCTCTTGGGGCAACCTGGGTCCAACCATTCTCACAGTGAAAAGGCTGTTATGATTAAATGAAATTTCCTTGTATCGGTTTGTGCCCATGGCTGGGTGCCACTGAAAAGAACCTGGCTTCATTCTCACTGCACTCTTCCCTTCAGGTATTTATGGACACTAATGATGTCACCCCTCAGCCTCCTCTTCCCCAGGCTGAACAGTCCGAACTCCTTCAGCCCTTCCTCACAGGAGAGGTGCTCCAGTCCCACGATGCTCCTTGTGGCTGTTTGTTGGAATCACTCCAGCATGTCCTGCCTCTCCTGTACTCTCCTCCCCATGTGTGGGACTTAGCACTGCCCTTTACTGAACACCCTGAGGTTCCTGCCAGCCCAGTTCTCAATGTGTTCAAGTCTTAGGATGGCAGCACACAGATTATCACATTATCAGCTACTTCTCATTTTTGTATCACCAGCAAACTTGCCCCAACATCCAGCTGCTCTAAGCAGCCATGGTCCCAGTACTGAACTCAGGGTTATACCACACCTGTGGCATCCAGCTGGATTTCGTGGCTGAGGATCACAACCTTTTAAGCCTGGCAATCCAGCCAGCCTAGCTCCTATTCCATCACTCTGTCAATCAAGGGGGATGTTGGCATACAGTCTCAAAAATCCTGCTAAAATAGAAAACATCCATTGTTCTCCCCTCACTTATTGAATTAGTTATCTCACTGTAAAAAGCTTTTGGACTGATTGAACGTAATTTCCCCTTCATAAATTGATGTCAGCTACTCCCAGTCATCTTATGCCCTTAATATGTTGGGAAACTGCTAAGTTTTTTTTACCCCTTCACCTTTTTAGTAACTGCAGTGAGGCTGACCAGATTGGAGTTTCCCATTCTCCTTCTTTAATATATGACACAGGCCTTCTTCCTGTCTTCAGGAATCTCTCCTGATCAACAAGACCTTTAACGGATCATCAAGAGTGAATTTGCAGTGACACTGACCAGGTCCTTCAGCGCTCACACACACATCCTACATCATTCTTTGTTACAGACTCACAGAATCATCCCCTTTAACCTCAGTAAGGAGGGTCAGGTTAAGTCCGGATCCATATCATGGGGACATGGGATTTCTGAAGGTCAGTCTTAAGACCAAAGGAAAGAAGACATCAGGTACTCTAGCCTTCTTCATGTTCTCAGCTACCAGGTCCTGTCCCCACTTAGCAGCAGGCTCAGGCTTTCCCTAGGCTCTCTTTTGCTGTTGACATACTGACTGAAGCTCTTTACTACTCTGTATGTCCCACACCAAATTCAATCCCAGATGCACTTTAGCTTTCCTATTCCCACGCTTGAATTCTTAAGCAGCATCTCTATCATATTCTCAGGTCACCTGCTTCTGTTTTCTGTGGCCTTTTTCACCTGAGTTGAATCACGAACTCCTTGTTCACGCAGATCTTCTGACACCTTGCACAACTTGGTGCACATGCAAATGATCATCCCTGACCTGAAAGAGGTGATCGTTGGAAAAAAAACACCACCACCAACCAGCTCTTCTGGACTCCTGTGTCTTCCCAGGTGTGTGCATCCCAGGTGATTCATCCAAGCAGATCCCTACAGAAAACCCTGTGCTCCTTAAGCCCAGGGTTGTGATCCTGTTGTTTGCCTTATTCCCTCCTCTCAAGATCACAATGGTTTCTGCAATCTGTTTTTTCTGTGCCAGTTCTAAGAATTATTTTCATGCTTGTCTAAGTCAAACCTGGTTTAATAATTAAATGGCTACTTGGCAAAGTACTCATTCTCTTTAGGTGCCAAATCCACACACAAGAGATCATTTCTAGAATATTTTGCTATAAGTTGTCATTGTTTTAAAAAATCCTGGAGACTGATTTTAGAGGAAAGCTTAAAAACCCTTTAGAACTTAAGAATTCTGTACACATTTGAAATAGGAAGTATTACCTGAAATGGCATAGTCTCCATTTGGTGATGCTACAGTTATTGCAGATGCATTGCCAATACTCTCCACTGGCCCCAAGCCAACGTGATTGCTGAAGCTCAGCACGTGCCATCCCATAACTTTTGCAAGCTGCTGAACTGCATGGACTTGGTGCTGCGACATCTGAAAGGTGACAAGAGGTTCATCTTCTCATCAGTATTTGCACACCACAAAATGAAATACAGAGGAACTATAACTGGGTTCTACTATGGGTTTTTTGTGTGGTTTTGTTGTTGTTTGGGTTTCTTTTCTTTGTTTTTGTTCTTTTGGTGGTGGTGGTTGTTCAAAAAAACAACAACAAACCCCAAAACATGTTGTTATGTATGTCAGGATAGCTTTGAAGGCAGAGGCAACCATTATATCAAACACACCACTCAGCCAGAGGACTTTTTGAAGTACTGCTTTCAATTAAGAAAAAAAATAACCCAACTGTTATGAAAAGGATTTTGAAATGTCTTTTCTTGGACAGAGATCTTTGCTGTAAAATATCTAAAATACCTTTGCAAATATGTATTAACAATGCAAGCTCAAATAAAGGCCGAGGTTCTCTGGCACATGATTATCTCCATTAATGCTCAAGGGCTTTAAGCTTTGAACTTCAACAACTTACAAGATTAGAAGAGAATGTTTTTCCACATCAAAAAGTAACACTTGTTGCAAAGAATAACCCAGCACTGTTAGCAGTTCTCTGAAAGTCTAAAAACACATCTTCATGAAGAGATATCATCAGCAGAATCTGTTTCAACTTGTTCTCTTTGCGCTGTGGAGTTTGATGCAACTGCACCAGGCCAAGCACCGTTACTACAGACCTGTATTGTGACTATTTACAACGTGTATTAGGGAGACTGTCACTTCTGAACAGAACCAGCAGCTTGCTCCACGCAATTAACAAGCCTCTGTTCAAATATCAACTGATTTAATAATGGTTGCTGCAATCATTAACAACACAGTGCTGAAATGACAGTAATTGCGGGCTCATTAAGATCTCTAGATTGGATTTGGTTACAGTAAGCTTAACATATTGAATACCTTGTAGGCTGCTCTCACTGGCTGGTTCTGAAGTCAGCAACAAACCTATTGCCCTGATAATGAGTATCACAATCAGTAGTATTTCTAATGGAAGGGCAAAAAACTGATTGCTGCTAGTGACCTGGTATTACATTTTATAGCAGTTGCTAAATTCACTATACAAACATACTGGAAAATCCAGTTACCCACCTTTCCTGTAGGCAATAACTTCATTTCAAGTTTCCTAATATTTTCTACACAGATAAAGGTGAGATCTTCACTTCTGTTCCCCAAAATACCAGAAGAAAAGGAAGAACAAAGTATACGAGTATACCTGAGATAAAAGGAAATCCTGCAGCTCTTGCTCTTGATGAGACAGTGTAATAACTCTTCCATCTCTGTGCACTACTCTGATTTGTTCAACTCCAATGTTGAGCTGTAGTTGAATGGATCTTTGAAGACAAGATACACATTTATTCAAAACGCATTATAACACCTCAGAAAATAGGAAGTTTGTTCTAAGAACACAGAATTCTTCTGATTACTTGATAAGAACTCTAAGATAAGGATAGGGCAAAGCCCGTGGAATACAATACCAACTTCAAACATCTCAGTTACATCATTCACCACAATGTCCCCCTCTACAACGCAGGGCAAATGTATTCCATGGCACATTCCCAGAGCTGGTGCGCTGCTTGTTCAAATCAAGTCCTGAGGTACCTCACAGCCCCCTCCCTGCCTCTGTGCACATTTCCTTCCAGAAGACAGGGGAAAATTTACTAAGGAATGGTTCTATCCTGCTGTCAAGACTTAAGCAGCACAGGTACTCTGGAAGAGAGACTGCAAACTGCACCAGTGTGGACAGAGCCAAAGAGAACTGCTCAAAATGGTCAGAGGGTGCTAAGGCAACCAGCTCACCCACCATAGCTATCAGTGAACGCACCAATGGTCAGCGTGTAGGCATTCGTTTCCACTACTTGAAGTCTCATACCTTAGTGACAATACAGTAATAACATAAATTACATGAGCTTCACATTTCAGTGCCTCTGTAACCAAGCTAGGGCAGAGCACTGACTAGCTCTCCATGCCCAGATTGGAAGCTTAAAGGCAAGCATGTACAGAAACACTCTATATTCAGCTGTCTCCATACACCTCTGTCCTAAAGAACCACTTTCCTCTTCGAACCTTTCCCTGAAGGAAACTGTGCTAGATAACTACTTACTAAGTTTCAACATTAAATGCACTGTAAAGGGGGCGAGGAGGTAGCTGTTCCTTCTCACCACTCAGAAAAACACAATAGTTGTACACAAAAACAGGCCCCTAGCTTTCTGTTTTACAGCAAATCTAAAATTGGGGGTTGAAACTAGATGATCATTGTGGTCCTTTTCAACCCAGGACATTCTATGATTCTATGACAATTGCAACACTCCACTTGTATATGCCGTGCTACTGCAACGCAAACAGAAAGATGCAAATGTTTTCATACTTACTTGCATATCTGTTCATACCCTTGAGAAGTTATTAGAACTTTAACACTGGATTCATAAACATCATTTATATTTGACCAGTGGGCCTGAATCTGAGGATCCTCAATACGACTAGCCAGACTGTCAATGGTTCGAGCAGTTCTAGAGGGAAAAAAGAGACATTCCACTCAAAATAACATTGCTGATTTCTGCTGTTATCTTCTTTAAAGGAAATGAGTCGATGTACTTCAAAATTCTAGCTGTAAATTAAGCATGGCTGTTTACTGTGTCTATTTCACATATGTTCTGCAGAAGTATTGCTACAATATTATTCAGCATCAGCTGCTCAGCAAAGACCATTGAGAAGTACAACAATCAGCAGCCTCCATCAGCTGTCACAGACCTCACTAAAAGGAAAAATTCAGATTTCTCTGGCCAAGTACTGTGTGATCGTACATCGTTATCCTTCTCAGTACTTAAACAAAGAAGTAGAAACTGAACACTGACAAAAATCCTGTTTTCCACAATGACCCATTTCATCACACAGCTCGTGACCCACCTGCGCCTCAGAAAGATGTGTTTTGCCTGTTTTATGATCTTTTCCAGAAGTCCTTCGTTTGACTGCAAAGAACTGATTTCATTTTTATCAAAAGCCTGTGGCCCCGCTAGCCTCATTCTCTTGTGGCCAAAAGGGGCACTTGCTGGATGTGGCATCACTGTGGAGCTCAAAGTTTGCTTGTGACACTGCAAACAATTGTTAGAAGAGAAAGTGACCAAATAACACAACTGCAAGATTTAATACAGATACTCTGAATACGCTGATTCACATCAAATCTTAAAACTGTTCCCTTTTTCACATGACTTCATGGCTTCTGGAGCCACGTCCTATGGATAGGAACACTTTCTGGAACACGTTTTCACAACTGCTTAGACATCTGCACTTTCTCTGTTCAGGGAGGGAGCACATCTCTACCTATTTCCCCAGGTCTTCCCATGCAATTACATGACAATCTAAAGCACTGAAGCAGTGATCAGACCTCAAGTGAAGCAGAGTTACTGCAGACATTTACTGTTCTTTTCTTGTGGAAGTATAATCCGAATCAATACTCAAATCATTAAGTACTTGATAAACACTAATTACACACAGAGGTAGAAAAGGGAAACTGAGGAGCTGGACTGAAAAAACCCTTGCATGGCTTTTCCAGAGTGAGCAGCCAGGTTTAATCTTTGGTTCAGAACCAGTATGCTATTAAAGCACAGCTGGAACTCCTTAGTCACCAACGCACAGTAAACCTGACCAGCAGGTTGCTTCACAGAAATGGACAGAAATTTACTGGCCTCTAGTGGCCATCTGTTACTACAGCAGTGCATAAGGCCTGCAAGTCCAAGCAAAAGCCAAAAAGAGCCCCCTCCAATCCTGGACTATGAATGCATTACCTCTCTGATAAGTTGATGCAAATTATGTTCCAGAACATAGAGATGATCCTCGGGATTCTGTTTTTCCGAAGCAGACTTCTGTGATTTTTTGTCATTGGAAGAGTGACACAGAGAAATAGACAACTGCAAACCTGTGCAAAGCAGGTTTTATTTAATAATAAGGACACAGTTTCCAAGCAGGCTGTTGAGAACTTAATCTTGACCTTATACAGACATCAGCTTTACAACCAACACTATCTCAGAGAAAAAAAAATGTAGAAATCAAATGATGGAGAGCACAGCAGCAAAAGCAGGTAACAGTGTTCACTGAAGTGCTGTCAGGCCAACTACTACCTCAACAGGTTGATTTCATACTTATTTCTACTACTCAAACCCACACACACAGGAAAGAAAAAAAAAGGAAAAGGTTTCTTCATAAGTAGTTGTGCATCCCTTGTACAAATTCAGCAGCTCTGACCCATCCTCATCTTCTCTAATTGCCCCCATTGAAAAGCATCACCCTTAGTTCCACAGATAACCCATTAACTCTCCTCTAAAGTTTCACTTACATGAAGCAGTGATCTTTGCAAAGCTCCAAAACATGTACCTATCACTACAGTTGACAAAACAATGTTAAGTACTACTGACAAAACCCAAAGTCTGTATAATAAAATATGAGTAAGTTAGAAAATAAAGTATATTAGTTGAATTTTACTATAATTAGCAAGTAAAAATTTGGGAAACTCTGTTTTTCACAATCTTTGAAAAGCAAGGTTAACACTTTGCTTTGTTTCTTAAACTAAAAAATAAAAAAAAAAAAAAAAAAATATCTCATAAAACAGAATTTCAGTCTGTATTTAACAAGTAATCCTACCTGGGAAAGGCTGAGAGATGATCTGATTTTTCACAACAATGTGAGGAATTTGTGATTTAATTTGAACAGCTTCTCGTGACAGCTGGGCAAAGATTTCTTTACACAGGAGAACATTCTGTGCAGTCTCCAGTTTTGTCTGCCAGTGCGGGGTACCTGAAAATATAAATTCAAATCTTCAGAAAAGTAAAGAGAAGCTGCTTTTCTGTTCAGATACCAAATATTCTACAGTAGTTGCCCTGAATGCCAGCACTGGAGTAGTAAGGTGGTATTAATGGTTTTAAACTGAGACAGGGGAGATTTAGGTTAGATATTAGGAGGGAGTTTTTCACACAGAGGGTGGTGACACACTGGAACAGGCTGCCCAAGGAGGCTGTGGATGCCCCATGCCTGCAGGCATTCAAGGCCAGGCTGGATGTGGCTCTGGGCAGCCTGGTCTGGTGGTTGGTGACCCTGCACATAGCAGGGGGTCAGAACCAGGGGATCACTGTGGTCCTTTTCAACCCACACCATTCTATGATTCTTCTACAAATTGAGTATTTCTCAGAATTTATTTAGATTAAATAAGAATATTCTTGTCCACTCTTCTTTAAAGCTTTATGTGATAATTTTCAAATTAAATATCATCTATTTCTTGAGAACACACCCAGAAAATAACATACCTGGTTTTGATTTTGGCATGGGTCTTTTAAAGAGATTGACTGTCCCAAGGTCACCAATGTCTGGAGCTTGTTTCTGAATAGAAACCTATGTGGAAAAAGAAGGAAAAAAAAAAAAAAGAAAAAGGTTACCTGAAGTTTATTCTTTGTTGCAAGCATGCAAATAGCATAAAATCCATGCTTTTGTATTGAAGTTTCTGGCAAACCTTTATATAGGCTGATCCCTCTAAATCACTTGGGATTTGAACATCCAAAGGACAGTAATCCTCAGGTATCTTTTTATCCAGGTCAATGTCAGTGTTTTTAATCACCTCAAACGTGCCATGATGAAGGAAAAGGGAGCCTAATCAAAGAAGAACAAAGACGCATGTAGTAGAACCCTAAAATCATCCACGTTGGAAAAGATCTTCAGGATCATCAAGTCCAGTCATTAATCTGATCTACGAAGTCCCATCACTAAACCATGTCCCTTGGTACATGTCCATGTATCTGTTATATATCTCCACATGGGGACACCACCACCTTCCTGGGCAGCCTTTCCAACCTTAAACTACTCCCTTCATGAAGAAACTCTTCCTAGTATCCAATCTAATTTCTCCTGACACAACTTGAGACCACTTCCTTGCACCTTATTGCTTGTCACCTAAGAAAAGAGACCAACACTCTCCTTGCTGTAAGCACAGAATCACAGAACAGCCCGGGTTGGAAGGGACCTCAAGGATCATGAAGCTCCAACCCCCTGCCACATGCAGGGCCACCAACCTCCCCATTTAATACTAGACCAGGCTGCCCAGGGTCCCATCCAACCTGGCCTTGAACACCTCCAGGGATGGGGCATCCACAACCTCTCTGGGCAGCTGTTCCAGCACCTCACCACTCTCATAGTAAAGAATTTCCCCCTGGCATCCAACCTAAATCTTTCCTCCCTCCACTTAAAACCATTTCCCTTTGTCCTGCAGTTATCTACCCTTTCAAAGAGTTGAGTCCCCTCTTGTTTGTAGATTCCCTTGAGGTACTGGAAGGCTGCAACGAAGTCACCCGCAGCCTTCTTTTCTCCAGGCTGAACAAGATCAGCTCCCTCAGCCTGTCCTCGTAGGGGAGGTGCTCCAGTCCCCTGATCATCTTTATAGCCCTCCTCTGGACTCTCTCCAACAGCTCTCTGTCTTTTTTGTGCTGGGGGCTCCAGACCTGGACACAGTACTGCAGATGGGGCCTCACAAGAGCAGAGGGGGACAATCACCTCCCTGTCCCTGCTGGACACCCCTCTTCTGATGAAGCCCAGGATACCATTTGCTTTCTGAGCTGCAGGGGCACACTGCTGGCTCACGTTAAGTTTTTCATCTATCAAGTCCCCCAAAACCACTGTCTAGGTAGTCGTAGGGAGCACTGAGGTTTCCTCTCAACCTTCTATTCTCCAGACTACACAAGCCCACCTCCCTCAGCCACTCCTCATAATTCTCATTTTCTAGTCCCTCCAACTTTGTTACTCTTCTCTGTACACATCTGAGCAATTCCACGTCCTTCTTGCAGCGAAAGGCCCAAAACTGAACCCAGTACTCAAGGTATGGTCTCACCAATGCTGCATGGAAGTGGCAATCCTTTCCCTAGCTCTGCTGGCAGCTCAGTTTCTGATGTGGGCCAAGATGCTATGGGCCTTCTTGGCCACTAAGGCACACTGCTGGCTCACATTCAGACATTTTCTAACCAGCATCCCAGGTCCTTTTCTGCCAAGCAACTTCCCAGGTGCTCTTTTCCACGCCTGTATTGCTGCAATGCATTTGATGTGACTCAAAGGCAGCACCTGCCATATGGCTTTGGTGAGACTCAAGGAGAGTCAGAGCTACGGCATCTTCATTAATGGAAGATGAGCAGCTCTAAATCTCTACCCACCTTCACTGCAACAACAGGTGCCCAAAATAATCAGTTTAGATGCCTACAAATCTGTGTTCAGAAAAGAGACTCCTCAATTTAAAAAAATGCTTCATGGGCTTTTGTCCATAAGGCCTACTTGTCAGCCAGTATAGAACTGTTCTGTAAAGCAATCTTTACTAAAACTCTTCTTGCCTTTAAAATCACTTTCTAGGTTAAGGATGGTGGGATATTTTCCCTGATAATAAAACGTGTTCTCTTACAATTCTGTCTCATAATTATGTGTTATTAACTGATACATATTATTAAACATACTCCAACTGTTTTTTCAGCTTAAAACACTTTATGTAAAATCTTAATATTCATTTCTAAGTAAAGGCAAAACACCCTACTGCATACCTGCACTTCTGTAGCTCAGATCACCAAGAATTTTGTCTCCCACTTTTCTCAGCTTCCAGTGCTGTCTCAGTCTCAGTAGTTCTGAGTTGAAGTCTCTTTGTCGCTTATTTTCCTGGTTTTCTGCAACTGATTTGGATAATCTTTCTGCTCCTTTTAGCAGGATCTGAGCTGCACCTGCTAATGACTTCTTTTTTGAAATCAGCTGTAGAAACTGAGGATTCTAGGAGGAAAATGAAACCCAACAAACATTTCATGGTTTCTGCTGTGTCTTGTATGATGCTGTGTTTTGGCTTTGGGAAAAAAATAATGTTAATAACACACCAACGTTTTAGCTGTTGCTGAGCAGCACTCCACAGAGGCAACAATGTTTCAGCTTCTGATATTGTGCTGACAGTGAGGGAGCTTTTGCTGGATGCTGAGTAGCCTATTCAGAATTACCTTCACATCAGCATTATATGGCCACAAGAAGCACTTTGATTTACAACTCCAAGAAGCCTCTGAGCTCAGCATCCTCTCCCACTTTGAGCCCTCCTACTCACCCATAGAGCACAGCATGAAGACACCATGTGGAACACTACCAGTTTTTGTACTTATCACTCACACAGAAAAGCCTCAGTGTAACAAAACCATCAGTATAAACACACAGGAAATGCATAAGCTGCAACGAACCTGCTTGGCAGGAGGTGGATCCTGCACCACTGGATCCAGAGTCATGAACTTTTTATCCTTAACGATGCTGAGGACATCATACAGCACACACATTTCAGTCAGGGCACTTCTTAAGTTGTTTCTCACTGAGTCCCAAGGCCAGAGGGACGGCTGAAACTTCACCAACCCTAAAAACAAAACAAATACAGACACAAGGTATGTTTTGAGAACGAGTCTTACACCCTATTGTTTTACAAACCTGCCACAAAAGCATAAAACACAATGTGATACATGGGTTTATCTTATCTCCCTTTTCTTAAGGTGTTTTCTAGGCCTCTGTCAGAAGTATTTTAGAATCACTTGAGTTGGAAGAGACCTTTAAAGGTCATCTAGTCCAACTGCCCTTCCACGGGACCCCTACAGCTACAACAGATTGCTCAGAGCCAAGTTCAGCCTGACCTTAAGGGTCACCAGAACCATCTCCATCTCCCTGGACAATGTGTTCCAGTGCCTCACCATCCTTATTGGAAAAATAGTTCTTTCATATATCCAGCCTAAATTTCACTCTTTTAGTTTGAAACCATTTCCCCTTATTCTGTCACAACAGACCCTGCTGAAGAGCCTGACCCTTCCTTTCTTACAGCCCCCTTTTGATACTGAAAGGCTGCTGTCAGGTCTCCCCACAGCCTTCTCATCTCCATGCTGCACACCCCAGCTCTCTCAGCCTGTCCTCATAGGAAAGTTGTTCCATCACTTGGAGCACTTTTGTGGCCCTCCTCTGGATGCACTCCAACAGCTCCACATCTCTGCTATATTGAGGACTCCACATCTGGACTCAGTGCTCCAGGTGAGGCCCCACAGCACAGATCAGAGGGGCAGGATCACCTCCCTCGCCCTGCTGGCTGTGCTGCTCTGGCTGCCCAGGATACGTATGGCTCTCTGGGCAGCTAGGACACACTGCTGGCTCACATCCAGCTTCCCATCCACCAACACCCCCAAGCCGTTCCCAGCAGGGCAGCGCTCTATCCTTACAGAAATAGCGGTGTCTGCCATGCCGCAGGCGCACACCCTGCACCAGGCTCAGGGGAACCCCACGAGGCGCTCCCGGCCCGACCCCGCCGCCCTCCGGGTACGCACAGAGCAGCCGCAGCGGCCGCAGTCCGCGCACCCCCACCCCGAAGGCCTCCGGCAGCCACACCGCCCGGCCCGGCCGCCCCCACCTTCCTCATCCTCCGCCTCGCTCGGCTCGGCCCAGGCGCGGCCCGCCGAGCCCGGCTCGTCCTCCTCGGAGCCGGAGCCCTGGCTGAAGTCGATGCGCTGAGCCAGGCGCGCCAGGTTCTGGGACATGGAGAGGGGCTGCAGGTAGGTCTCGCTGCCATCCAGCCCCACCTCCTGCACCTGTTTCTCGCACGCCGACTCGATACTGATGCGCACCGCCGGCACTCCCGCCATCTTGGCGCGCCCTCCTCGCCTCCTACGGGTGCCGGGCGGAGCCGCGAGCCGAGCGCGCTCGGCTGTTTCCGGAAGCGGCGCTCGGGAGGGGCCGGCTTCACGGGCACGCGCTCGGGCGCGGTCCCGACCGCAGCGCGCGCATTTTGTTTGGCAGCGCTATTCCTGATTGGCAGCGGGTTTGTTCTGCATGTTGAACGCAAATTCCCTCCTAGTTCCACATCACCGACACAGTCGCACAGGAAAAGCCACCAATCAACGAACAGAGTGCAGCATTAGTAATGTTTTAGTGAAATTACAGCTCGAATTCAGCCGTAACCCCTTCGGTTACAACTCCCGTTTTCCCCCTTGACGCGAAAAGCCGGCAGTTTATTGCTTGGCTTATTTGCTCTTGGCTATGATCACTATGCATAATTAAGAGTTACAAAAATCAGCGTTTTTACTCAGGCAAAAGCTCAGCTCCTTTCCCGGCGGCTCAGTCCCGCCCCACGCTGTGCGTGTCCTTGGGCCGGTCGATGCGGAAGAGCAGCTCGGCGGGCGCCAAGTAGGCGCGGTACTGCACCGCGTCCGGCGTGGTGTCCGCGTGGTAATGGCCGCCCTCGCCGTGCTGGCTGAAGCAGTGCGTGTGCTCCAGGCGCAGGTCGAAGCCCTGCGGGCAGAGAAAGGGCCCTCAGTACGTGCGGGGCGTCACTGCTTTGCAGCGAGAGCAAAGGACGCTACAGCCGTTAGGCGCTGAGAAGGTGCGGGATGTTTGTGCAGCTGCTCAGAAAGATGAAGAGCAGCTGTGTGAATCTGTGCCACGGGACGGCGTGGAGAAAACAACTTAGAAACTCTGCCAGACATCAACTTTTGGTGTTCATCTCTCAGAGATTTCCTTTTTTTGTGTTGGGATTCAACCAAGCAATCACAGCAGTGAATCACAGGCTACAAATATAGATCGTTAAGGCTGGAAAAGATCTCCGAGGTCCTCTCACCCCACCACTGAGCCATCCATCACTACCACGCCACTAAAGCACGTCCCTCAGTGCCACATCTACACGTTTCTTGAGCACTTGCAGGGGCGGTGACTCCACCACCTCCCTGGGCAAAAGTGAGGAAGGAAGCCATTCTGGAGAATAGAACCCCTTTGCAGTGAATCCCATAGGAACGCTCCCATGAAGAAAGGCTGAGGGAACTGAGGTTGTTTGGCTTGGAGAAGGGAAGGCTCTGGACACCTCAGTGGGGTGCAGCCTTGGCACTGCTGCCCAGGGAGCTGTGGGTGCCCCAGCCCTGGATGCGCTCAAGGCCAGGTTGGATGGGGCCTTAAGAAGTCTGGTCTAGGGGGTGGTCATCCTGCCACAGCAGGGGTTGGGAACTGGATGGTCTTAAAGGTCCTTTGCGACCCAAACCATTCTATGCTTTTATGAAACAGAACAATTTGTTCACTGATAAAAACCATTTTCCACCGGTGTCTCTAACGACACTCAGGTATTTCCAAACACAGCCTCTGCTGAATGCTGTTGAGTATCAGAGGATACAGATAGGAATAACCCAGCTGCATCCTCCACACAAGTCATGCTGGTTCTGAACAGGTCAGCTGTCTACAGCTGCTTTCCAAGTAATGTTCAACAGATTCTGGGAAGACGTACACAACCAAAAGTTGCCAAGACACAACATCTCACCACTGAGAGCATTCAAGCCAACAGCATCTTTCATTTAACTTTGGAAAATTATTTTTCTAATTATTATTTATGACTGCATTGTTACTTACAAAACAGTCATTTTTATGTATGATTTCCTGATCACTTTTGAACAAAGTCTTCCTAAAGGTGAACATCTTAACAGCTTCTGAAACTAGATTGTTTTCTTTCCTGAATCGTTTGCTGTTGATTTCAGTGCTCATGAAAGATGCTAGCTATCTTTTCAGCATGAGGGTTTGCAGGCTTTAATTTGCATCTGCAATCGAGACTCATGCTGGAGACATTTTGACACAGTATTGTCCAAGACAGCTCCTCTGAAAGTGAACAACATGAGCATGTGACTGGTCAAGCTGCTGTGCTCTTGACATTCTTCCTGATGTGGCCAGCTGTGAATGCAAACTGTGCTGACAGGTTTGGGATGCAAACACTGAACATTGCAATTGTAACAGAACCACTGAGGTAAATCCTCTATGAACACTCACTGCATTCCAGAACTGGTTGGCCAAGTCTCAATTGAAACCAATGAAGAAATGAGAAGCTGGTATTTTATCACATCGTCTCTGAAAGCTTTTAAGACAGTATGCACACACTCCTGTTCTCAAAGGGAAAATCACATCCATAACAAAACTCATTACAAGACTCAGTTTATACTTAGAAATGTGGAGAAGACTCACTGGATCTCTTGAAACGATTACTGGCTGACAAATCAGCGGAGCCTTCATTTCAAAGAATTTGAGCCAGTTATTCAAATCCTCATCAGTGTTCAGAGGACAGGCAGAAAATTCTGGAGGCTACAGTAAAAGCAAAAGCTTTAAGTAAGATAAAGATACTCACATCAAGGCATCTCTTCTATCAACTTTCCTTCACCTTCCTCCTCCCCGCTATTCTGTTCACATTTGTTATTGCCTTTTAGAAGCCCATTACTCTGTTTCTGCCAGAAACGGAAGTGACCAGAATATTGTTTCTTTCAATGCAGATACCTTGTGGGACAACTACTGAAGTGATGATTTTCCTCCTGGTATTTTAGAAGCTCAACTGTTTTTTAAAAAATAAACGTGTATTGCTTTCTGTAAGTATCATCTCAGTTACTGTATTTTATTTTATTTCACTTTACAACCGTCATACAATTCCTTCTCTAGCTGCCCGTGGATTTCAGAAGAAAAGATGAAAGAAGTTACACAGCATCATTAATTTTGTTACGTCAATATTGCAGTTTTCGCTTCTTACTTTAATACAGTGCTTATCCTTAGAGTTTATACAAATTTAAGAATACAAAGAAAAGTCCAGACAGTAAGAAATTATAGGTTGATTTATAGTTCTGCTTTCAGAAGGATTAAAAAAAAAAATTATGAGTTGAGAGCTACTTACCATAATGTGGATTTTTGCTTTTCCCTTCTGAATGATAAACGTACCACCCATCCCAACTGGCTTTTCTCCATAGTGTTTCTCTAAAATTTGTCTTAGACAAGATACAAAGTTAAGCTCCCCAGTTCTTCCATTGGCTTTCACTTCAATAACCTGGAGGATAAAGTGATTTCATCATTGCTGTCTCCTACAGCAAGTCTGCAAAGGTCTGTAAAAGCTGTTCCGAAACTCTCCCATATTTATAACCCAAGATTGCTTTTTCAAAGCATGAGTTTCCCCCAGAACTTCTGCTCCACATCCTTCCAGTACTGGATCCAACTTTATTTCTGACTCTCTGTTCAACACTAGCTTTGCCTGTGAAGGGTACCAAGTCAGTTACTCACACATAAAACAATTGTATAGGCAACTCCTTTCCATCCATCAGCTGGCTTCAGCTCTGTTGTAAGTTCTTGGAAAGAGAGAAGACTGCTCAGTTTCCATGCAATAATCTGGTTTTTGGCTGCTCTGCCAGCACTGCTTTGTGCCAGCTGTGGTGAGGGTAAAGCTTCTACAAAAAAACCTAAGATTTTGTAAATCCTTTGTGCACAAGTCAATCACTGTACAACGACCTTAAGTCACTGTATGTCTGGACTGGATTTGAATGGACGATTTATGAAGGAAAAGTTTTACTAAACTGTTACTTATTCCTCAACATTTTATACTCCTGTCTGTATCCAACGATTCTACTCATTCACCAGCCACGGCTTCTCACATCTGGATACTTGTTTCATGGAATTGCTCTTTTACTATTATCACACAGATGTGATTTAAGAATACTGAAAGATGAATTTCCCTTCAGCCCCAAGGTTCTACAAGAGAAGTCACCTCTGATCCAAATACGCACCTTACCAGGTTGGCCCTCGCTGGCATAAAGGTTGGCCAACATCCCAAATTCACAGTCTGAGTATTTACTGCTGTACTTTTCGAGAAGGCATCCTTTATCTGCAGGATTTATCTGAGCAATGTAGCTCCCATTTACAGCAGGCTGTTTTTCATTCTTAGTTTGCACAATAGGGATAAGCTGAGACAAAGAACATGTAACAAATCGATAACAATAGGAGTCAGTATAATGAACACAACTAACTCTATATGAAGTTTAATCTTTGGACTATGTGGTTTATGCTCTTTTGGCATGAAACGTGTTTACTGTGCGATCCACTTGTTCTAAGTGGCAATCATCGAGCATGATACCACTTTACTATTTTGATACTGAGATTAAACCATTGAGAACCATCACACTTATAGCTACTGACCTCAGCATTTACACCAACAGCTCTAGATGAAACAGCCCCAGCTCCAAGAATAAAAGCTCCAGGAAGCTCTATGTCTTTTGCAACAGTATTTAGATCATAAACCTGCAAAAGAGACACAAGTGTGATTGTGGTGTGGTGCTCTGGTGTGGAGTAGTCATTCTCAAATTGTCACTGTAACCCTGGGTGCATTCACAACATTCTCATCAGTATTTCAGATAGGATGAACACAGCACCCAAATCTAAACAACACAACATTTGACAGTAATAGAATGGATACATCCCTACCTGGTTTTTTGAGAGGGAAGGTTGTGGGTATGATCCCCTGCCATTTTACCCAAAAACTGAACTACTGCTTTTATTGAAAACTGTATTTGCATAAAATAAAAAACACAACATACAAGACAGATGGGGCTGGGTGTCAGAAAGGAGACATGATATTCTTGGGAAGGGACAGAAATGTCAAACTACTGTTGACTTGAAAACACAAATACAGCCAATGTTACTAAGAAGCATGACTTGAAATCACTGACACACAACAAGCCACTTATAAACGTGCAGACAAGCTCTTCTAGTTCCTTCCATGGCTCCTGTCACTGATGATGAACTTTCAATACTGTCCAGTATTTGTGGGAAAGAGAAGATGAACCATGGAACAGTACACGATATTTCTCTAAGATGTGTAAGACTTCTGACATAGTCAATGTTTAATATACATCAGAATCAACTTCAAAGAACATGGAAAACTCTTGCACGAGTGGAATCATGCAGTATCTGTTAGCCCTGGGTTTTGATTTTATTTCGACAAGATACTGCTTTTCTATTAACAAATGAATTTAAATCCCATAGCTACAGGAAAAAAAAACAAAACAAAACCAAGAACTCACTTTTTCTGTCTGTGCAAGTGGTATGAGGTATGGAACACCTCCCACATCTGCTATTCTAGGCTTTCCACAGATTCCTGGAAAAATACAGACAGTTAATTTGGTACAGTGTTTTCCCTGACAGTCTTGGATCAGCACGCAGCCCAACACAGCAAAGAACAAGTTCCTCAAACATCCAACACACCCGGAGATCACAACTTCTCTAGCATGCTTAGATAAGATGCTGCACTATTAAGAAATGTAAGGACTGTAAGCCATAAAATGGTTCACAGTAGAGGAATTTAATGCTAATCGATTTGTAAAATAAGCACAAAACAAAAATACTGTGGGCAACAGCTGCCATTTGCAGTTTCTCCAGTAAGATGGAGCTGACACACAGCTGACACTCCCACTGGGAGACTCCACTTGGGAAATTTCTGCAGTGTTGGATGCCCAAGTCATCTCATTTATTTGGGCACATACCTGGTATGACATTGGGCATATATTGGGTATGAAACACCTTCCCAAGGTGCTTCTTGCACTACACTTATGATAGAGGGAAATCATGACCAGCACAGATGAGGTACCTGTCTGCCAGGCAGGTAATGTCAAAGACTATGAACCCCACACAAAATAATATAAAATATTTTATATAATACAAAATATAACAGTTTAACTTATAATATGTGGATGGCAGGAATCTTAAACAAATAGAAGCACGACTACTTTTGTTTGGATAGTGATTGTCATGGATCTAAAACATTTATCCATGTCAAAACCTTTTGAGCACAGTAACTGAAGTGTAAGAAATAAGTGAGAACTGCAGACAGAGATTAAGAAAAAGAAGAGAACAACTGCTTGGATTATTTGTGCTTGTTCATTCATCAGCTAGGAAGCAAATGCAGGAATAAAGCGTGGCTTTCCTGTCATGTAAATTCTTCACCTGAAAAACAGCATGAACTCTTCTAAGAGCTTTAAAGAGATCTGCAGAAGTCAAGACCACCAGGTTACCTTTAGCAGGAAAATTGAAAGGCTCCTGAGTCAGATCAGGACAGTCTACAACAGAGACTTGGGCATCAGCAAAGTTTTCCTTAAGTCCTTTCTGCAAAACTATAATTTAAAAATAAGTACCAGCAAAGTTATTGGCAAGAAAAATTACAGAGAGGTTGACAAACAACTAACAGAAATCTGTCTAGCCTTCACTTCAGCAAGACACTTTAAAGAATACACAGATACCCTACGAAACTCCATTGACTGAAGTGTTAGTGCCTGTCACTGTACAGAACTTTAGAGAACAGCAAGAGCTTGTTCAGAGCACTGCTAATTACCACATTAACTAAGAATTTCACAAAGCACAGCACCGGTTAAGTAACATGGATAACCTTAAACCACATTCAGCAGTGTTTCTGTTTTTACATCTGCTCGTGCAGGGTGTGCACTGCCACGTTTCTGTCCATGAGAAGACATCCTGACGAGTGCCACTGGCAACACAGAGCAAATAGTGAACAGAGCTGATGATCAGTCCCAAATCTGAACTTTTTCTTTTGTTCTGTATCAGTGTTTTTAAGCCCACATCCTGCCTAAGCACCTCAACAACAGGGATGATTCTGACTTAAACAAGTTCAGTATTTAACAAGAAGCCTTAAGTGCATTTTGTGAAGACTTTGGGAGGAAAAATAAGTTGTTCCCCGCAGTCTGTTTCTAACTCAGTCACCAGCAGAGGAACCAGCCGAGCTCAAGGAAGAAGACCATATTGCATCTTGTTAGGTGTGTTCTGAGCAGTTCCAAAAGAAATACTGGAGGCAGAGGAGAGCAGCTGATCCCAATTGAGTAATTAACCTCAGCCTGCGATTGTCAAGCTTTCGCAACTCCTATACAAACCTACAAATGCAGCAGATTAAAGACACTGAGAGCTTGCTCACGTGCTCTAATGACACCTGGGGCTTTGGAGGGGGAATTATCCTTTGCTTTAAAGAACTAACGGTGTACAGAAGAATAGGGCTTTACGTCCCAGTGGGCCAACAGCAAGAACATGCTCTGTGCATTAACTGTACAGAGGATTTGCTGGGAGCACTAAGGAAAGTTTGAAAAACATATTTCCAGTTTCTAAAAGGTTACATGACTTACCTCCAGCAAGCTCCTCCAGGCTTGGAACATGAAAAGCAAATTTTTCAACCTTTGCCATTGCCCGTTCGGTTCTGATTTCTTCAGGTTAGAAATTACAGTATAACACACTGCAGAAGTGACTGATCTGTCAACAAGGATAATGGTTTAGTGATTGAAACACTGTTTTCAACATGCAGTTTATCTGCCAAATTCACACAAAAGTACATAGACAACAGTAGAATTGTTATTATACCATTGAGGGAAAAAACGACAGCTTCAAGATTAACATTTTCTCATATGCTTTGGAAGAAGATGTGCCTACCGGCCCTGCAGCTGGTTCAGAGCACCACATATGCTAGTCCTCAAACTTCCAACTCAGTGCAGATAAAATGTGTAATATGCTGAATCTAATTCAGGGGACAGGTCAGTTATTTGTCCTTTGTAAGCCTGAAGTCACGCTGTGTTGGAAGAAAACCAGGCTCTTCTAAGCACAGCAATTGCCTCACTGTGTCTTTGCTACCTTAATGTTTACTTTTCCAGCATTGGCTACTATGGACTTTCAACCTTGGCTCCTAATTTCTTACGGGCACGTGTTTCCCTTTCCAAAGGGGAAGAAGCCAGTAGCATGTCTCAAAGCAAAAAAACCAAAAACAACAACAAAACAGCAGCAAGTTCTACAGCACTGGGCTCTGTATCAGTACAGAGCCCTTAACAAAAAGCTTTTTTCCGAACAGAAACGCTGGAGTTTCTTTTGAAATGAGCTATATTTCAGTCAGCCATGCAACAGCATAATCAGCTGTGAGGGCAAACCACCAGCTCTGGGCACAAGCAGCTGGTTATATGCTACCTACAAACCAGTGCCAGCAATCATTAACTGCTTAAGCACAAGCCTGCTGCATAAAACAGAAAACGGGTCTCAGGCCTTGTAAGAAAAGGCAAGAAACCTAATGGCACTCTCAGATTTAACAGAGCTTTTGGTAGAAAGGACTGTGATGTGACAGCTACTTACAGATACTTTTAGCTTCTATCTAAATAAATAAATTCCTGACATTTATAATTGTCAAAAGTATGTGGGGAAAAAAAAAAAAAAACTACTGTCCTCTCACAGGGAAAAAAAATACAGTAAAGAAAAGGATTGGGGGAACAAAGCAGTCAGCCAAGTCTTCGAGTTCAAAGGTCAGCCACCCCACGTTCCTCCTGCAGCAGACAGTAGAGAAAGACAGAAAGCTATCCATGTCCAGTGATTTCCATCTTAGTTGGGCTTATCCACTTCCACGGGTAATTCTCCCTTCTCTGACTGTGAAGAAGGAAAAGGAAATGGGCTGGATGTGTTGCCTGTTGTTAGATGGACCGAGGCAGAGCCCAGGGCTTTAAGAGTGCACTGAGAAAAAAGGAGCAATTAAGTCAGAGAGAGAACAACTCCAGCAGCGTTGTTGTAAATCAGGTCCAGAAGGACGCTGGGCTCCTCGAGACACCGGCTGAAATAATCCTGAAACAGAGCCGGCGTTGTGCAAAGGGCAGAGACAGGACTCGGGCGCAGATCAGCCAGGTAGGCTCCGAGCAACACCCCGACCATCGCCTGCTGCGTGAAGGAGAAAAGCGCGCTCAGCTCCCGACACGCCGCCAAAAGCGCCGGGCGTTACAACCGAGTCCAAGCGGGAAGGAAGCGGGTCGGTGAGCAGCGGCGTGAGGACAACGCTTGTAGGGGAGTCGGTGCGGGGTGGGAGGGAGGAGGGCACGGCGGGGCACGGAGGCTCGGATGGGCCGTGATGGAGAGACATTAATGCTGTCAGAAGAGCTGCTGGGTGACAAACGGGAAAGGCGCACAAAGAACAGGTCCGGGATGGCACAGTAACGACAAGCACGTAAAGACATTTCAGCTCTGCTTTTTCAGGCACGGTAGGGCAGAAACCGGAAAGGAGAAGTTAACAACTGGATAAAAACGCATCGGGGTGAGGGGGGAAGAAATATTAGGAACAAAGTAGAGAAAGCAGCCAGCAAGAGAAGGGAAAATCAGCCGTAACGCAGAGAAAGGCAAAACGCCGGGGGATGTGACTGCTGCGGCCGTGGTCATCAGCCAGGAAGAGGCGGGCGGACACGGCAGCGGCGGGGGAAGGCTGCGGGCGGAGGACACGGCACAGCCGAAGCCGTCGAGCAGAGCAGAGCCGAGCCGAGCAGAGCAGAGCAGAGCCGCGACGGACCGCGCCAACGTGCCGCAGAACTCATAGCAGATGCAAGAAGGGAAATTTGGGTCATTTATGTGAGCGCAGAAAGAGCCCCGGAGCCAAACCTGCAAGAGCAACTCTCCGGAGTGCCACAGCGAGCAGAACAGCGGAGAAACCTCTGAAGCTACGCGCGCTTCGGGTCACAGCACGAACCAGCCCTCCCTGCCGCCCCGCCCTCCTTACGGCGCGCCCCATCCCGCGCGACCAGCAGAGCCCGCCCCCGCCTGATCTCGCGAGAGCCGAGAGCTATTTAGTCTCGGAGGCGGCCATCGTACGCCCTTTGCGGAGACGAAGCGTAAGGTGAGGGGGGCTGGGGAAGTGCGGAGGCGTGCGGCATCCACTGCCATCCGCAGCGGGGGAACCCAGTCCGGGGCTGAGGCGGAATCAAAGCCCGTTGTCTCTCCGAGCGCTTCCGTAAGGGAACGCGGGGAAGGCCCTAGGGCGGGGAGCGGGCTCCTCGTGGCGGCACGGCGCCGCGGTGGTGCGGCGAGAACCGCGCAAAATGTCCGCCCCGGGATGCTGGGCGGGCAGGGCGACCTGAGGGGAGGCAGCGCGCATCGGGCGACCGGCCGGCTGTGGGCGGGCTTCCCTTCCGAGCTCGGCAGCGGCCATGGGGAGGCAGCGCAGACTCCCGGTCTTTCTCAGAGTTTAGGGCGCGTCGTGCTGCTCAGCGTCCGGTCCCTTTGTGTATAGAGCCCTGGCGCCGGATGGAGTGCGCAGGATTACAGATCGGCTGAAAGCGAGCGTTTTCTCGTGGGACTGTTCTGTGCTCATGGCCGGGGAATGAAATGTTGGTGGGTTGTTACAGTAGGAAGCTCTCAGGGCTGTACAGCTAGCGAAAGATTGGGAAAATGGGGTTCTTATGCCCAGATCCTTAGTTGAAAATGATTATGAATTACAGTGAAGTGTTTTTTGTGGCTTAGAACTGCAGCATCCCTACAAGCTAAAGAAGCTGTTGGCTTACGTGCATGTGTGCTTGTATGTGAAAAATTTTGCCTGTGCTAAAATGTACTTTATTTTTTAGGGCAGATTAAAACATGACTGATACAGATGAATCCCACGCTTCTGGTTCTGATTATCCTGATGCCCAAGATCTCATATTAACTCAGAGGAAAAAAAGATCTAAAGTACCTGAGCATGCAGCAAGTGCACCGAAGGAACATTTGTGCTCAAGGCAGAAGGGTGCCAGTCCTGAGGAGTCTTCAGATGAGATCAGTAGTACAGATACGTCTTCAGATGAGGTGGATAGCAGTGATTCAGAAATGTGAGTTATCTCTAGTTCCTTAGAATTGCTCATGAACAGAACTCGTGATACATCATTAATGTACGTGTTTTGCTGAACATACGCGTTTCTTTTTCAGTGATGTTCCAGCTGCTAGTGGCAGCAAGCACCATAGGAAACACTCTGTTGTACCTTCAAAGCGAAAGAGGAGATTGCAGCCTTCAAAGCAACAAGCAGAAGCTGATGCAGGAGTGCCTGGCAGTGAAAGTTCTGATTCTTCTCTGCCCACTCAGAGCCCAGTGAGGCCACCTGAAGCCTCCCAAGAGAAGAAATCTAAGCTCAATCTGAAAGCTATTTTTGCCTATCACTTCAGAGGAAGGAAGTTTAAAGCTGCTGCACACCGAAAATACCGGAGCAGTGGTTCACGGAAGATAAAGAGAGCCTCTGGGTGCACACGGAGGCGCGGTAAGAAGAAGCCCATGACAGCCTCACCTCAGGAGCGAAGGAAAAGGCTCAAGGATCGAGGCTTTCAGTTCCCTTTTGTTGAAAAACATTATGGGAGAAAACATATTCCCTTAAAGATGGTTCTTAGCTATGAGGTGAGCGCTCTGTTTTGTGGGAGAGAAGTTGTGATTTTAGATTTACTTCAAGGAACAATGAATGCAGGTTGGCATGTTGTGCTTCTACCTAAATGCCACAGTGAAATGAATCCACTTTTGTTTTGTTATACAGGATGACTGCTGCTTTCCATTCAATACCTTACCAAACCAGCTGACCTAAGGCTGTCATTTAATGTTACAGTTCAGTTGATTATATAAATGCTTCATTCCTTTTATAGTGGCGTTTAAGATGTATTTCTTTCCTTCAGCAAGCAGCTGCAAAGGGATATTTCCAATATGTTGAAATGCTCAAATATGAAGAACACCTCAAAAAGGCTTTGAAAGCTCTTGAAGCCAGTGAAGACTTAGAAAGAGAATGCCTGGTAGTGCGGAAACACAAATATTTAGATGACGAAGGCCCCCTTTCTCCTATTCAGGAGACAAAGTAAGTTCATCTTGAGTAGTATAAAAGTTGCTGTTATATGCTCAGCTTAAATCTAAGTTTGTTGTGTGCAGCATTGCTGTCTTTATTGTCTGGTGTGTGCATTGTATTCATTGGTGAAATACCTCATAGATTTTTCTGTAACTCAGTAATGGATTCTGGGGGCTTAGCACCCTATGCTGTGTGCTCACTCCTCATCCTCAAAAGAGCAGAGACAGAAAATAGATGACTGCTCATGGCTTGTGATAAGGACAGGGCAGTCACTTGCCAGTTACTGTCCCAGGCAGAACAGGCTCAGTACAGGGAGCTGAATGCAATTTCTTGTTATTTGTAGCAGGTGAAAGCAGTGAGAACTAAAAGCAAACTACAGACAGTTTCCCCACAAGCAGTGCAGTGGGGGCTGCACTCATTCCATAAAGCTTTGCTTCTGCCTCTCTATCCCTGCTGCATGTGGAATCATAGAACCATAGAATGGCCTGGGTTGAAAAGGCTCACAATGATCATCACATTTCAACCCCCTGCTACGTGCAGGGTCACCATCCAGCAGACCAGGCTGCCCAGAGCCACAGCCAGCCTGGCCTTGAGCCCCTCCAGGGATGGGGCATCCACAGCCTCCTTGCACCACCTGTTCTAGTGAGCAGTGTGTCTCTCCCATGAGATGCCATCCTTCCCCAACTGACCCCAGGTGGGATCCCCCTGCTATCGAAACCTTGACACTTCAGTCCTGGACACATGTGGAGGCTGACTCCAGCCAGCACCTACGCACCTGCATTCACTCTCCAGTAGGAGAAAAGAGAAACCTGTGAGTTGTGGTGGAACTGGTTCTGTCAGTGTCAGTAGCTGGAATCTAGTTCCAGAAAGAGAGCAACCTCGTGTAGAAGTGGGAGCATCCTAGATGTATAAGCTGTAGTGTTTCCATATGCTTTATGGGAAAGTGGTGCTGCATTAGGGGAATAGCTTATATATACTGTGCTACTGTAAAAGTACAGATTTTATTTCAATTTTATATATTTCAGTGATGATGATGATAATAACTGCATGGGCTCTGATAATCCAGAAGACTTTGATGTCAGAGTAGTGGTAAGTAAATACTCTTTAATTTGAAAAATACTATAAGCTTTTTTCTCTTTTGAGGTGTCAAAGAAGTAATAGATGATGCTTTGAGTACTGAATTCTTGAGCTTGGTGTGGTTCTGATGTGTAGTATGAGAGGAAGTTGGTTTGAGAGAAGTCTGTACTCTTTGGAATTACAATTGTGGAAACGAGTTCCTTGAAGCGTTCCTAAATCTTGGGAAATGAGTAATTGTTCCTGGTGTGTTTCCAAACCAGGGTTGTGAATACTGTTTCTTCATTCTTAGGACAACAGCTGTTTCATCATAAGCAGCAAAATTCCCAACAAGAAGAAATCAAAGGCCGAAACAAAGCGAGCAAAGTCAGCTGGAGGGGTTGAAGTAAAGAAGAGTGCTGCTGATAACTGAACATTTGTGTGGCTCTCTTTGGTTGAACAGAACATGAACGAATAAGGTGGCAGCAGTCACTTCTCAGAGACCTTATCGAGGTCTGATTGGCTTAAAATGTTGGTCTGAAGTCAGCGTTGAGCTGTCAGCCAGGCAACCTCATCAGAATCAATTTAAGGTGAGTTTGGGTCTGAGATGGATAGGAGAAAGGTGTGGCCTGTCTTTTTGCTAAGCATTTTTGCAGTTGGACTTGATGGTCTTTAAGGCTTTTTCCAATCTGAGCAATTCTGTGCTGTTTGAAGTGTGCACTAGCGATTGAGTGGCTGCTAATCCTACTGAAACACCAGCTTCTGCAGCTTGACAGAAGTCTTCTGTCATCAATGGGTCATAGAGCTACAGAATTAAAAGTTCCAGATCTTGAAATTAAGAGGTGTTGTGTAGAAATGTGTAAACATGTATATGCTTTGGCAGGGGGGTTGGACTTGATGATCTCTGGAGGTCCCTTCCAACCCCTACAATTCTGTGTGATATAGGTGCACTCATCCTACACAGGGGAACTTAGACCCACTTCTCTCATGGCTTTGTGAAGGAAGCTTGAGCTTTTCTTATTGTAATTTGGTAACTTGGAGGGAGTAAAGCTTTGGAAGAGCCACACTTGAGGGATGTTTTTCTGTAAAACTCTTGTGAAATCCCTTTGATGCATTTGAAATAATGATGAAATAATTGCTTATGGCTGTTTGTTCATCATGAGGAATAACACCTGAAAAAACTAATTTTCCTAAATCCACTATAATAATGTAAAGTTGCTTTAAAACAACTAGAAGTGTAATGAAAAGTTCTTTTCCCTTCTTCCCCTCCTCACTCTAGAATGGGGTTTTATGAAGGTGACTGAGCAGAAGATGGAAGTCCTTCAGCATGACAGGGACTATTGCTGATCTCATAGCATGAGTGAAACATGCTGCAGTTGCTCAGTCTGAAAAGAGTTGAAGTTGCATTTCTAAATCTTTGCAGAAGAAGCTTGAGATTTCCCTGTTGCAGCTTGGTGCTCAAGAGTGACACTGCAAAAATCAGCTCTTTGCTAGTTAAAGATCAGATTTAGTAACAGTCCAAAGTTAATGGCTAAATATAACTCTCTTAGGCACCTACTTGAGAAATACTGTGTGGCTTGAAAGACTCATCCTAGATCTAGAGTGGGGTTCTGGCAGGATGAGGCGTAGTGAGGTGGGATGTGGAGTCCTGCTCATTCTGCAGTTCATGTGATGAATGTTTCTGTTCAACTGCTGAGTGACTCAGAAATGAACTAAATTTCAATTCTGATTAGAACTGGATGTACACACCTGAAAAGTGAGTGCATTACATCTGCCAAATTGATTGCTGAAAAGTAGCTTTTGCCTTTAGGGATCTCAGCTTATTTGACCATAATTGATGATTCTTATCCCTTTCATTTTTTTTCAGTTTGTTGCTTTTGGATGATGAATATTGATCAGCTGCTGTGAGAGGTAAGCTGTTACTGCTATGCAGTTCTTTTCTCCAGGTAGCTTGTGGGCTTCGTGACTCCTGCCAGTCCAGCCTGTAGCCTGTGCTGGAACAGAAAGCATCAGTTTTTTAACACCTGTATATTCAAGGTAGTTTGTGTAGGCAGTGATAGGTAGCAGTGCTTGTGTCGGCCGGTGTTGAATGCTGCAGGCAGACAAGCCAACTGTGGTTTATGTTGGGTGCTCCTAGTGGAGATGTCTGTACTGGTGCCTCGTGCAGCTGCAGTGTCTGATAACTGCCCTGTGGGTAAAACTGCAGGGGGAAGGAACATCAGGAGGTGGTCTTGGATGTTACTGCAGTTTCTCACAAAGGGATGTTACCAGACCTGTGCTTCTTCAGGAGGGCTTAGGATGCAGCACAGAAGAAAAACTTGAAGGTTACTCTTTAACACAGGGAGCCCAGAGGTACAGCTACACCAGTAATGACAACGAGCATGTTTCCTTGTATGAGGATCAAACTGGAGCATCTGCTTTCAGCATTTGTTGTAGTAAAGGTACTGGAGTACATGATGTGTCAACTTGACACAGTGTAAATTGTTCTTACAACAGTATCTGATAGTAATACTGGGCTTGTTGCACCTGTTAGTAGTCCGAAGCCCAGTAATGGATGGTGAAAGTTAATGGAGTAAGTATACAGTCGATTGAGAAATAACTTCATTTGTGTGTGGTCTTCAAATGCTGTTTCAGAGACATGAAAAATAACAGGAGAGCAGGCGCATTCAGTTTCAGCACGTGTTCAGTTTTTGTCTGGTGCTGTAGACAAAAACCTGGAACCTGGTGCTTAGAAAAAACCCTTCTTTCGCAACCCACAGCCGATGCATGTATTGGCTGTGTTACTTACATGAAGGGACACTGCTTATATTTATTCAAGCAGCAATTAATCCAAAGGGCATGTTTCGTATTGCATGTGCAGAAATGTTGTGCAGTTGCTTTGTTTCCTTCATAGAATTTTTCCAGCTCTGCAGCACTGAGCTGTTGTAACTGTTTTGATCTGCTTGAATTCTTACAGCTGGTGCACAAATCTGTTACTTCTGTGCTGTCCTGTGGAACACACTGGTTAAGGAGGTATGCTTTGTTTCTGCTGAGTTTTGGCGTGAGAGAATTTGAGTCTGCCTTCTCAGAGAGGCTTTGGTGGAGCTTGTCAAACACAGCAGTGGGAACTGTTGGATAAGTTGTTAAGTGATAAAAGTGCATTTAAGTTGACCTGGTTCTTTAATGTTTCTTTGAAGTAAAGGAATATTTGAGGAACTGTTTTTCCCTGTGGGGAGGTTGTGCTGTGAGGACTGTAGGCTGAAGGCTTAGCTGGTTGGTTTTTTTTTTCCTAAATAAATATTTCATTTGGAAAGGCGAATCCAGAAGGCAGCCAGCGATGTGTCCATGTTGGAGTTAATGGGCTGGGCTTTAAAACAAGCTGTTCTGCAGGTGTAGTGAAGAGTTGATTGTTGCGCCTTGTTATTCAGCAGGCAGACAACTCCGTGTGTGTCTCAATTGAACAACAGGGCCAGAAGAACAACAGGTTGTGCTTTCCTCACTGTAACACCCATTGCAGTGGTGACAATGAGACCTGTAACAGGCTTACATACTGAGAGAACTGTGCAAACACGGTTCAAAATGTGGTTACTCTTAAATTTTGACGGATTGACATGTGTGGTGTTGTGAATTCTTGAATTCATAGAATCACAAGGTTGGAGGAGACCCACAAGATCATTCCATCCAACCATCCTCCTAGCATTACTATCTACTAAGCTACTAAACAATATCTTGCAGCATTCTGCATCCTGCTGGCTGTGGGAAGTGGAAGAAAAACACACAGTACTGAATTCTGTAAATAGTTTATCAGAGCACTCTTGGAAGCTGTCTTGTAGTTGCTTCACACCACAGCGCAGCTGATGTAGGTAACACCCTCACATACATCTTCTGTGCCATAGTGCTTTGATTTCTTAAGTGTGGGTAGATTTTGTTGATAGTTTTGTGACAGACTTTGATTTGAAGTGCTGCGTATTCAGTGTAAGAGTGCTTGCATCTTGAAGTTACTAACATGCTGAAGAAACGTAGAAGTGTTAATCAGTACCATAATCTGCTCTTTTCAGCAAGCCCACCTGACGATGCAGACCGGAGGAATACCTTGGTGAGTCTGATACCAGCTTAATGTAACCATTGCTTAGTGAGAGTTAGAAATTTTGCTTCAACTTTCTGAGCTGGCATATGCCTGTTCCTACTGAGTACTGCTGCATCAGAAAAACTGACTGCAAAGCTTGATGCTATCTGAGGAAGTTGTTGTGATGATTGGCAAAATGTTCAACTGCTCTGAAGAGAGTGAGTGAGAATGGCCTTTCTGAACAAATCTGCTGCCTGACTCCATACTGTGTATCCATGCTGAGGATGGAGCATGCAGAATGTTCTCAGTGAATAAAGACTGATATTTTTTTTTGTTGATAAAACTGTCAAATTACATTTTGAATGTACATTGCAGTAGCTTGAAGTGTGATTGCAGTGGGAGAGATCGTCAGAAATGCCTGTGGTGATTAGAAGTGGCTTCTGAAGGTTCTACAACTCACTGCTGTAGGTCGTACTGTATGCACATGCAAGTCATTTTGTAACCCTGTGGTGATGTTGCTTTTTCAGGTGGCAGGTGGTATGAGGAAATGAGAGAAGAAGTGCAGAAAGCCACTTGACAGAGATGGAGCTCCCCTATAGGTTAGTGTGCCCTCTGAGCTTCTGCAGATGCATCAGTGTTTGAGGGGCTCTGGTTTTCAGTGGCTGGAGCTGTTCACCACATGAAGCTCGGTGCCTTTTGGAGTGTTGCAGGGGCATAACTCAACATATGTTTGGATATTTTAAAGTAATATTCCATTTCAGTCCGTTAAGGGAAGACTTCTTTAACTCTGGTTTATCCCAAGAAAGATCTCAGTCTGAAATGAAGTGACGAGGTTAACTTCCTAAACTCGGGCTTCACTTCAAAAGTAAATGAGTACTAAGGGAAGTTAGGAGTGTTTGAGTAAATGTTGTAGTTAATTCCCTTCGTTTTATACTGTTCATGTTCATGTAATACTGTTTGTGTAATCGTAGCTTTTAACATTAAACTGATGTGGAGTTATTACTGCATCTTCCAAATGAAATGGTAGTGTAACATTGCGCTCCTTTTTCCCACAAATCATGACAGAAGTAAGAAGGCACTTCGTAGGAACTGTATAAGATGCTTTTCCAGTCTGCTTGATTTTTGTTGGTTGATTTATGGTCACAGAAACATTGAGGTCTATCCCGATAGGATCTCTTCTGTAGGTTCATGTCGTTGGAAACGCCTCACAGAACAAACTTGTGGTTTAGTTTCACCCTTGGAGCTACCTGTTGGCTCTGTGGGATAGAACTGCAAGACAAATCTTCATGTACCATTTTAGGAATGGAAGTAACGTGTCATGTTCTCCCTCAGGTATTGGATCATGAATTTGATATAGATGAAAAAAAAAATTCAAATGGAAAAGCTTGGTAAGAGTGAAAAAGAGCATGTTCTGAGATATAAAATGTAACTAACATGTTTAATTGCGTGAGTTGAACTTGCTCAGCCAGATGTCTGTGGAGGTGCCAGACCTCTGTGTTTTTTTTCTGGTTGGCTTGAAGCAGGCTCTTCCCTCTTCAATCTAAAAGTGATTTACTGTTCCTTGTGGTGCCTGTAAGTTTAAATTAGGAAGTCCAGCCCTCTGATGTCTGTCCAGTCTTAAATAACTCGATGAGCATGCTGGATTTTTGCTCTGCTGTGTAATTCAGCAATGCTGCTTTTCTCTTGTTAAGCTTTGAAGATTTAAAGTCTGAGTTAATTTCTGAGCCTGGTACAGTGTTAGAACTCCTGGGTTACATGGAGCATAGTGCTATTCCACAGACCATAGCTTGAAGTAAAAGGACAATACTCACAAGCCCATTGTGCTGGCAATATAAAGAATACTTGAAAGAATAATGAGGCTGCTGAAATTGATGGAATTTCTTTTCCCTCTTAGCACGGCAACTTCTGTGAGATTGGTACTTCATTTTGGCTTCTCTCTAACTGGTGTCTGCAGAGCTTGAACATAAATGTGCATTTGTTGATTGAGGACTGTTGCATCTGTTGCACTGAACGGTATCTGCACCCAGCAGCATTCTTCTGATGGGGTGTTCAAAAATCAGTGCTACAGTAGTTCAGCATTTGGCATCGTTGGTTTTCACTCTGCTGTGGTTGTTGAACCTGGTATTCTTGCTGATACAGGCTTTGTCCTCTTCAAGCATTTGAGCACAGTCCTTTTGTGTGGGGCAGGACTTGTCAGTGTGAGAGCTGACTGCTGGTTCTCCCTGGTGTGTTCAGTTTGTTTCTTTAAACAGGTACAGAGCAGTCAGTTGGCTGTGTGAAATAGATTAGCTGCGGAAGAGGAAACAGCCTGTTGGACAGGTGAGCACTGAGTTGTCAGTTCAGGTTTGGGGCAAGTTGATGGAAGCTCGGTTGCTGACACGTGACTCTAGAAGATCAAAACTTCAGTAAGCTGTCTAGAAACATAGAAATGACTGGCCAGTAGCAGGCAGTCCTGGGCAGCACTTGCTCCAGATTTTGGCAGTATCTGGGTCAGGGTGTGTCTGCAAGCTAGTCTTGTGTGCTTGTAAAAACAGCAGTAAAGGGAGATCTGGTCATTACCAAGGCTGCAAGGATATTCCTGTTCCTGGTAAGCTGTGGACATGACCATAAAACAACTCCATCAGACTCTTGAATTGCTGCATTGTGTGGCAGTAGGTCTGCTGGGAATAAAGCGTTGGTGTAGGCCACAGACACAGCGCTCCCTTCTGCTGGTTGTTAGTGGCTCTCTTTGGCTACAAAGGAACCCAAGTGCTAGCAAGAATCTTCAGCTGTTGAAATCAAGCCCCAGAAGCTGCTGTTGACAGAACAGTCATGCATTCAGAATGGAAAACAAAAATCTACTTCTTGCACTTGGCATCCAACTTCATTTTAACTCTTCATTTATACAAACCAGGTGTGCCTTTGTGTACCAGAGTGCTGCTGTCACTGAATGTTGGGGTTATGAAGCTGTACCTGAGTGCTGCCACAGCAACTCTGTAGGTAAGATGCTTAGCAGCAGTGCTGGTACCCAGAAGAAATTCAAGGTCACTTCAAAGAGGGTTTGCATGGCTGGAAAACCAGCAGCTCTTAACGCAGTGACCGTACATTGAACTCCTTTTAGCAGGATGCTGTAGCCACTTTGTGTGTGCTGTGGTCTATTTCAGAGGAGACAGTCCTTAAGTTACATTGCTGCTTAGAATGAGAAACCACCTGTAGCTACTGCCCTGTCACTTTTTGAGTTCCTACTGCAGGCAGAATGCTACTTGGTTTCATCTGCAACCATTTGACTTCAGCAGCATGTGGGGTTGGAAGAGAATATTGATGTAATTGTGGCACTATGAGCTGTTTTGTATCTTTAATGCTTTTTCCTTCTGCTTGGGTGTATGGCATGTTCTTGAAACTGCATGGAAACAGAGAATCCCAAAGAGTGGGCAGTAGTGTTGAACTGGAATATTATGGATAGAGTGCATATAGGAAACTGGAGTCAGAGCAAGCATGCAAAATGATTCTTTTTGCCCCTAAACAATTTAGTAAGGGATGTATGATTGTGTGGCTGCATTACTGCTGTTACATCAGCACCATGTTATGAAGTTAGGTTGCTTCAACCTATAGGAAGTCAATAAATTGAAATGCTTCTTAGTCTTGAATTATAGTGCTAATTATTTTTTCTTCTCTCAGGTCCTGATGTGATGTTGCTGCAAGTCTTGCAAGAAAGAAAAGCTCTTAAATGCTCTTAAAACACTCCTTTATTTCTTGTAATAACTGAGAATTTTAAATATTTTAACTTCATTGCCCTGTAAGTTGAAGTAGTGGATCAAGGTGTGGCTGTAAGCAGGGGAGGATTATCAACTGTGTTCAAACTGTTCCAAGTGGGAAGATGGGGCTGTTTACTTCATACAGAAAGTAACATTCAAATAAAACTGCTTGAAAGAACCAGCTGCAGCCAGGGAATTGTTGTTACTACTTTTTGCTACACTGTGTAAAACTAAAGCAGGGATTGTAACCACGTCTGCCTTGTAGCCGAGCGTTACTTTGTCTTCCTTTCTCACCTGGTTACAAGAAAGGAACAACATTCAGACCTGTGAGCAGCCTCTAGAAAAACACTACAGTGAAGATGAGAGGAGAGCCTGCACACTGAAATGAGCCCTCTATTGTAGCAAGAGGCCTCTTCTTCCTTTCAGCTGTTTGTCCTGTGTGCATAGGGGAAGTTGTAACAGTTTGAGTCTCTTCAGCAACTGCAGTACTTCTAACCAGTGTGAACTGCAATGTATGTTAACTCTTTACAGAGAAGCTGCTACCTCATACTGCTATATTTGAAATTTGGGCAGACCTGTTGGAAATGGAAATGAATGCATTTCAGGCGTTCTCACCTGCTACAGCAATCAGCTCTGTGTTAGCACTGCAGCTTAGAACTTGTGCTGTTCTGCCCTTTGCTTCATTTCAGAGCTAATAAACTTGAGTACAGCGATAGGCTCCCCAGGGTGCTGCTGGTTGAGTCACCATCCCAGAAGGTGTTTAAAAGCTGTCTTGATAGATGTATGTGGTGCTCAGGGACATGGTTTAGCAGTGAGTTGTTACAGCAGGATGGTTAAATTGAGGCTGGAATTGATGATCGTGAAAGTCTTTAACAGCCCAAGCAATTCTATGGACAGTCTTTGCAAGGTGCAGTTAGCTAGTAGAAGGCAAGCTGACATCCACAAGTGAAGGCAGTTCTGTAAGTGATGTTAGTTTGTTGGCTTCAGGGACTTTGAGATGTACATCTGCTGCACAAACCTGTACTTTGTAATGAGGATTATGTAAGTGATTAATTACTGGTCCTACTAAACATGAGAAAAATGGATAAAAGCTTCAGCTTTTTGAAAAAGAATCTTATTGTCACACATGCTATGACCTCAGTGTTTTTTAAAAACACTTTATTAGATGTTTATATTACAAGTAGTATAAACTCTCTTTCAAACACTACAGCACAAAGCTTTCCTGCAGCGTCATTCTACTCGGTGCTGGTTGCCACATATTAAAAGTAGATGGCACTGTAGAAAGCATCTGTCAGTCATTACCTGAATTAGGTTATTGCAGTTCTTACTGTTAAATACTGAGTTGTATCAGCACAGCAATGTTTCTTGGTTAGAGGCTTCTCCTAGTCTGGGTGTTTTCCCTGGCTTCTTGGCTCGTAGTTTTTCCAGCATTTTCTGCAAGATTTAAAATCATGTGAGAATAGCATAGCTCAAGAAATGGTGGTGATAACACCAAGCTGTACAAGTGAGGTAATGCTGCTCTATAACAGTGAGAAGTATAAGAGCAGGTGGAAGAGTCTTCCCAGGGAAGCACCAAGCCTGCTTGTGCTTGGATCACACTCAGCAATACTGTTTGACACGAGCAGCTGGATCCCCTCACTCCTTTTATTTGACCTCAAGTCCCAAGAATTCAGTCTCAGGCTGATGTCCTTTAGAGAAAACTTGGCACGCTGCCTTGACTGGAGTGGTCTCAGACAGACTAAGCCAATAGCAGTGCTTGGGAAGTCTCTAAAAGCTCACTGACTGAGCAAAGGTAGTATTCCCAAGAGGCTGTGCTGAAATGTTAAGACCTGGTTCACGGTCTGTTCAGTCATCACTGCAGAATTACGCCTCCAGTCTGATTAGAAGCTAGGGGACATGAATTGACCAGCTCGAGATGCTAAGAGGGGATTACTTTACCTTTTGAAACTCCTTAGCCTTTTCTCTGTTTTTAGCATAAGTTTCCTGCCTTGATTTTTCTTCTTTTCTGATCTTTACTTCTGAAAGTTGATTATAAAGTCTGTCAAAACATTAGAAAAAGGGTTGTCAGGAAGGAAAGGGGGAAAGCAGGAGTACATAACAGCCTTAAGGGTTTATACTGTCAACTGCTAGAAATTATAGCAATTCTGACTTTACTATCCCCTGATCTGGCATCACTTCAACTAACTTTTAGCTGACCTAACACAGACCCCACTCAACCACTGCATTGTACACATGCATCATTACTAAATGCTGAGTGCAGCTGGGCAGGCTGCCAGCGCTTCCTTCCTGCTGCAAGCTGGGCAAGGGCATGGCTCAGTGTTCACCTGTATAAACATGTACTGTTAGGGCTCATATCAATAACTTCTCATTTATCTTGTTTAAATCCAAACTTCTTCCACTGTTCATGCAGTACCTTGAGGTGCGCTGGTACATTTCAGCTTCTCCAGCCTTCCTGTCTTCTGGAGAAGACACTTTCACTTCTCCTACTTTCTTCAGCTGATTGACAACTGCACCTTTTTTCCCTTTAAAAGACACAAACACAAAATGTATCCTAAGTCTTTAACCCAGACAATACATCTATTTACAATACAAACTACTGCGCCCCAGTAAAAGTTTGCTCAGTTTACGAAACTAATACCAGGTACTAATTGTAAAAAAATCAACAGCTGTCAATGACAGACTTCTTCAGTATACAAGAACTCAAAACCATAAGAGGTTTCAAAGGTTGAGATAGAACTACAAAGAAAGAAACAGAATTGGTACAGTGGAGATGAATGTTTGTCATAAAAACCACAGTGCCCAATGAGGCTGCTGGCTGTACTTGGAGCGAGTTGTGCTTCTCAGCAGCTGCCTACCAAACCCTGATAACAGGGTTAGAGATGCATTAGTTCACTTAGTACAGTTCTTGGACAACCAGTTATTTTGCAAAGACACATTATGATGATAAATGCAGATAAATGCAGTCTGCTTGCAACATGAGACAGCCAAAGTGGGGAAAAGGAGCTCCCACATCCCTAAGAAATTAAAGAATACCCCAACTGCAAAAGTGAAGATGCAACACATAGGAAAGGTTTTCTGTGATATTTAAAAACTAAAGCAGTCCTAGCCCACGTCACATGCCCAAGTAAACATACCAGGGATAAGACGACCCTCCTTCTGACTGCTTAATGTCTCAGACTTTTTCCTTTGAAACTGTCTGCCTTCTGGCTTTTCATTTTTTCTCTCTCTTTGTTTTATTTCTTCAACTCTTCTCAGGGATTTCTGGATGAAGTCCTTCTTTCTTTTCAAAAAAGATTCTTGCAAACTCCCTGGTGCAGAAGCAGACTCCAGCAGCATCACTGAGAAAGAAAAGTCCAAGCATTTCTCACTTTCTGCAAAGAAACCACCTCTACTAATTCATACATTTCAGTGCATTTCTCCTAAGATGTTGACCAGGATCTGTTTTCACAACTGGTGTCAGGAAGTGACATTTTTGCACAATAAGCAGTAATTCAGAGCTAAGGAATCTAGAACCCATAAGCAGTACTGCCAAAACAGATACTGCACTGAAACAAATGGTTACAGCCTGGTAGATCCTTTCTTCCTTGTTTCACTATTTATGTTCCATACTGACATCAGAACATCTTTTAACTGCAGAGGTTCCTGACTGATAGGAGACAAACAAGGGAAGGTGCACTACGTACATAATGACAGGCAACAAAACATCACAAGAGTTTCAAAATTAAATATAGTTACAAATAAAACCAAATGAAGTCTCACTAATTATAGCCATTACCATCTATTGCTTAAGATGGCCTCCTACAGGAAGAGACAAGTTATTTCCTTGTCAGTAAAGCACACATCAAACCTGGGCCAAATGTACACAAACAGAGGCCAAACAGCAACATGCAGCTGTCTAAGAGAAGTTATATTTTCTTGCAATGACTTTGTAAGTTAAAACTTCAGTATGTTGAAGCTGCATAGAATTACCTGCAGTCTGATGTGATGGACACTGACCCTCGGTAGCACTGTGGGCTTTGGAAGAGCTGTCAGGCCTTATGAGCACTGAACAAACTGCATCTGGAACCACTGGTAAAAATTCTCTTTTCTGTTTCAAAAGGAATCATTAGTTGAAAATGCAGAAAATACACCAGAAATCTGAAGTAGTCATACAGTACTCTGCCATGGACAAGACACAAGAAAAGACAGTCTTTTCCCTTTAGCAGATGCAAGAAAAACACCAGAAATGGACAGTGACAGTATTAGAATGCTTCTAAAAACACTCAAAAACTTCAAAACATTGCAGTCCCTTTGCCCAACAGCTGAACTAAGACTCACCTCAGTCAGAACACTGATGGCAGACCTGTCTGCACATGCTGGGTTATTTGTTTTATCCTCACTACTTCCCTCTTGGTTCATATGTTCAATGTCTGATTCTGCAGTACTGATGTCATTGGAGCTCACAAAAGTGAGTTCAGGCTCTTCCATAATCCCACGCCCTGACTCAGTCTCCTTGCAGGTAGAAGACACAAAGCCTCAGTGTAAAAGCTATGTATCATTTTATATAATATAAAATATTAAAGTATATAAACAATATATGCATTAAAATATATTTTATCATATATATTTTAAAACCACTATTACTAAATTATTACTAAATATTAGCAGCAACAGCTGCTAGCTTGTAAGAGGCTCATTCAACACAGAAAAAAAAATAGAACCTGCCCAAAGCAATAATGCAATCCAGAAGGATTGCCTTGCCCAAGGTGTTAACTGATACATCAAACCAATCCAACAAGAAGTTCAGTGGTTTGGTTTGTTTTTTAAAACCAGTAAGTAAAAAACAACCCAAAGCAATCAAACAAAGCTCTCTTCCACTCACCTCAATTTAAATCACTGCTGAAATCTAGTTTCAGGCCAGGTTGGTTGGTTTGTTTTAAAAATGAAAAAGGAAATGTTTCACAGTTTTCAATTACTTCTGCTTTGGTTCTATTATTTACCTCCCAGACTGGGTTAAGATCAGTTATGTAACTGCAGTTTCATGGCCATGCTGCACCAACTAACATCACTGCTAATTGCTTCAGTGCTGTGATCTAAAAGAGCAAGGACAGCAAATGTCCAAGAAACATGCAAGTCTGAAACCAGAACTATAAAAAGAACATCTGCCAAGTTTTCAGATGTTGAAGATCTAAAATAGCT